GATAAAGAAATTGTGGTGTGTGTGTATGCACACACACGCACAGGAATATTACTCAGCCAGAAAAAAAGTATGGAATCTTGCCATTCATGACAACATGGAGGGACCTCAAGGGCATTATGCTAAGTGAAATAAATCTGAGAAAGACAAATACTGTATGATCTCTCTTTTATTTGGAATCTGAAAAAAAATGTTCTTAGGTACAGAGAACAGTTGGGTGGTTGCCAGGGAGTAGGGGTGGGGGAGTAATGGATGAAAGGGGTCAAGAGGTAAAAAGAAAACAAGCAGTAAATCACACCCAAAAGTTGTTGATTGACAAAATAGGGCCATATATGTATTTATATGGCATCTTTCTCATTTCTGTAGCAACCTTCTCAACTGCATATCTATATATACCTGCAGTGGGGAAATATTGAGAGTAGGAAATTAGTAGTTTGCTGTTCTTCTTTCAGTTATGTTATATTTGATCATCTCTAAAAATGTCATGCCACCATTGGTTGGTCATTATATTACCCTAACTGTTTTAATAAATATATTCAAGAGGTCTTTTTAAATAATATTTGTCATCATTATTGCTGTGCATACAATTATGTTAAAGGTCCTACCCAGTGCAGTAAGGCAAGAAAAACAAAAGGCAATAATCTATATTGGAAAGGAAGAAGTGAACTTATGTTTATTCACAGACAATATGATCAGTGATATAGAAAATTTGAGGGAGGGACGCCTGGGTGGCTCAGTAGGTTAAGCGTCTGCCTTCGGCTCAGGTCATGATCCCAGGGTCTTGGGATTGAGCCCCGCATCGGGCTCCCTGCTCAGCAAGGAGTCTGCTCCTCCCTCTGCCTGCTGCTTCCCCTACTTGTGCTCTCTCTCTCTCTCATTTTCTGACAAACAAAATCTTTTAAAAAATGTTTGAGGGAATCTACAGAGAAGCTACTAGAGCTGATAAATTTAGCAAGGTGGCAGGATACAAAATCAGTGTATAAAAATCAATTCTGTTTCTACATCTTAGCAACCACCAATCAGAAGCTGAAGTCAAGGCAGTAGCATTTACAAAACATCAAAACATGAAATACTTCGGGATAAATCTGAAAATTCAGGTGCAAGACCTATATACCAAAAACTACCAAACACTTTTGAGAGAATGTAATGGAGACCTAAGTAGATGGAGAGATGCACTGTATTTATCGTTGGAAAACTCAATATTGCCCGTACCTCCATTCTCCAAAATGATCTATAGATGCAGTGCAATTCAGGTCAAAATCTCAGTAGGCTCTTTTGTAGAAATTGACAAACTGATTCTCAAATTCATGTGGAAATGCAAAGAACCTAGAATAAAAACAATTTTGAAAAAGAACAAATTTGGAGAACATGATTTCAGGATTTACTGTACAGCTATGGTAGGTAGTATCCAATTGGTGTCAAGATAGATCTATAGATTGGAGTAGAATAGAGTCCAGAAATAGTCCATACATACATGGGCAATTGATTTTTGACAAAAATGAGAAATCAGTTCGTTGGAGAAAGGATAGTGTTTTCCAATTGCTGGAACAATGACATATTCATACATGAAAAAGACAACAAAGAACCTCAAGCCATACTTTGCAACATACATAAAAACTAACTCAGGGATGCCTAGGTGGCTCAGCTGGTTAAGCATCTGCCTTTGGCTTGGGTCATGATCCCAGGGTGCTGGGATCGAGTCCCACATCGGGCTCCCTGCTCAGTGGGCAGTCTGCTTCTGCAGAGGCTCTGCCCCTCCCCCTGCTTGTGCTCGCTCGCTCTCTCAGATAAATAAAATCTTAAAAAACCTCAAAGTGAATGGTAGATCTAATGTAAAACCTAAAAACCAAACATTTTTAGAAGAAAACATGAGTGGGCGCCTGGGTGGCTCAGTTGGTTGAGTGGCTGCCTTCGGCTCGGGTCATGATCCTGGAGTCCCGGGATCGAGTCCCACATCGGGCTCCCTGCTCGGCGGGGAGTCTGCTTCTCCCTCTGACCCTTTTCCCTCTCGTGCTATCTCTTACTCTCTCTCTCAAATAAATAAATAAAATCTTTAAAAAAATGTAAAAAAAAAAAAAAAGAAAACATGAGTGCGTTAAGGCCTGAGTTAGACAAAGATTTCTTAGATGTGTCAACGAAGCAAGATCCATAAAAAGATAATTTGAACTTCATCAAAATAAAGTATTTCTGTCCTTTTATAAATACTGTTAAGAGAATGAGAAACAAGGCATGGTCTAGGAGAAAATATTTGCGAATGACTTGTATCTAGAATATATAAAGAACTCTCAAAACTCAGTAACTAAAAAAACAATTCAATAAAAATGTGCAAAACATTTGAACAGACACTTCACTAAAGAAGATATAGGGAGGGGCACCTGGGTGGCTCAGTCGGTTAAGCGTCCGACTCTTGATCTCAGCTCAGGTCTTGACCCTCAGGGTTGTGAGTTCAAGGCCCCTGCATTGGGCTCCATGCTGGGTGTGGAGCCTAATTTAAAAGAAAAGGGAAGAAGATACAGCCATAAATGTACATGAAAAGAAGGTCAACATCAGTCATTAGGAAAATATGAATTAAAACCACAGTGACATATTACTACACACCTATTAGAATGGTTAAAATTTAAAAACCCCAATAATACTGTTGGGAAGGATGTGGAGAAACTGGAACTGGTCAGAATGTGAAATGGTAGAACCAATTTGGAAAATGATTTTGTAGTTTCTTAACAAGTTAAACATATTCTTACCATGAGATTCAGCTATTTCACTCCTAGGTATTTTCCCAAGAGAAATGAAGGCATGTGTCCATATAAAGACATATATGTAAATGTTCATAATAGCTTTTTTGGTAATAGCTAACAACTGAAAAAATTCCCAAATGTGCTTCAACAGGCAGAGAACTAAACAAATAATGATATATCTACACAATGGAATATTACTTAGCAATTAAACAGAAATGAAGTATCGATATAGACTGCAACATGGATGAATCTTACAAAACCCGAAGGAAAGAATCCCGGTTTTAAAAAAAAATGTCCAATTACCTTTACATAAAATTCTGGAAAAAGCAAACTAGAGTGACAGATCAGATTAGTTAGGGGGTGGCAAGGAAGGGCAGGAAAGAGGAAGGACAGGGAAAGATTTTTGGGCTGACGGGTATGTTCACTATGTTAATTATGGCAGTGATTTCATGCGTGTGTCAAAACTTAACAAGTTGTATACTTTAAATATGTGTAGTTCATTGGACACATACTTACACCTCAGTAAAACAAAACCAAAAAAACCAGAGTCCAAGCTCTGCTGTTCGAAAGCCTGGGTAATCCAAAATCTATAAAGAACTTATCAAACTCTACACCCAAAGAACAAATGATCCAATCAAGAAATGGGCAGAAGACATGAACAGACATTTTTCCAAAGACATCCAAATGGCCAACAGACACATGAAAAAGTGCTCAACATCCCTCGGCATTAGGGAAATCCAAATCAAAACCTCAGTGAGATACCACCTCACACCAGTCAGAATGGCTAAAATTAACAGGTCGGGAAACGACAGATGTTGGCAGGGATGCGGAGAAAGGGGAACCCTCCTACACTGTTGGTGGGAATGCAAGCTGGTGCAGCCACTCTGGAAAACAGTATGGAGGTTTCTCAGAAAGTTGAAAATAGAGCTGCCCTATGACCCAGCAATTGCACTACTGGGTATTTACCCCAAAGATACAAATGTAGTGATCCGAAGGGGTACGTGCACCCTGATGTTTATAGCAGCAATGTCCACAATAGCCAAACTGTGGAAAGAGCCAAGATGTCCATTGACAGACGAATGGATAAAGAAGATGCGGTCTATATATACAATGAAATATTATGCAGCCATCAAAAGGAATGAGATCTTGCCATTTGCAACGACGTGGATGGAACTGGAGGGTGTTCTGCTGGGTGAAATAAGTCAATCAGAGAAAGACATGTATGACCTCACTGATACGAGGAATTCTTAATCTCAGGAAACAAACTGAGGGTTGGTGGAGTGGTGGGGGGTGGGAGGGATGGGGTGGCTGGATGATAGACATTGGGGAGGGCAACCCTCAGTTTGTACACTTACTGTATGGTGAGCTCTATTTTCAGTTGTTAGCTCTTACCATCAAACCATTAGTTTTTGATGTAGTGTTCCATGATTCATTGTTTGCATATAATACGGTGCTCCATTCAGTACGTGCCCTCTTTAATACCTCAACATAACATAATAAAATTTTTAAAAAATGTAAAAAAAAATGGTAAAAAAAAAAAAGCCTGGATGTGGATAATAACAGGGCCCAACTCTTAGGGTTGTTGTGAGGACTGGGTATTATAATACATGTTCAGAGACTAGACCAGTGCCTGACTCAGAGCTCGGTTCACCATTTGATATCACTGCATCTTGTCTTCTACGGGTTCATCAGTTCTTGGTGAGCAAGGCACCATGTCTCTGCCATCTTTTTGCCTAGTTTCAAACTTGCTGGGTATCTATTTGTATAATCCTCAACTTATGAACAGCGCAAGAAAGTGTTTTGACAAATTTTAAACCTCTAATTATGTAACAGAATTAGCATCTTTCAAACATGTGCAATACGGATAAAGATTGAACAAAAGGAACAGGAATGTGGCCGACACTGCTCTGGACTAACTTGTGAATTGCGTTATTTATGTGTTTAGAATCATATGGGAAATATTTAAAACGTTACATTGTCTTACAGATGTCTTTATTTTTATTTGTACACATACACACTAGTGTGTGTATACCCTACATATTTCCTGAAAATTGTTTCCTTTGAGCTCTTAAATGTAGCTGTCACCCTTGTTTCTTTGACTTATTTTAGAATGCAGTTAAGTCCTTGGGAAAATCACTTATGTCATTGGTGAGGAATGTCACCAAAATAGCTTCTCACTTAAGTTCCCATCGCCAGAGCTAACCCACAGGAGGTTCCGATAAATTCAAATATTTAATAACTTGTATTTTTCTTTCTCCTTAAACACAGGCCCTGTGGTCCTGGAGGCAGGATCATGTGGTGGATTGTTGGCAGTCAGCAGTCTGTGGAGCTTTTGCAGGTGCAAAGGATTATATTATACTGGGAAAGACCAAAGGGGGGAGAAAAATGTGAAAATATTAACTATGCAAAAACAACATTCTTTAGAAATTCCAGATTGTTTAGATGAAGAGAGTTCCACTAGTTGTTTGAGAAAAGAGAGTGTCTTGGGAAAAAAAAATGCTTAAAAGGTGTCTGCTTGAAAGACAACCAATTTGTTTTTGACAAATTTTTCTTTTTCTTTTTATCTTTATTAAAGCCTTCACTCAGGCCCTTGGATTATCTTAAAGATGATTTATAAAGTCCTCTGTGGGAAGAGACTTGCCGTGGGTGCGGGGCTCACTGTGCAGCTGTCTGCCTTGAGCAGGGCTTTGGGGCTTTCAGTGATTTCTGCAGAAGGCAATGATTCACGGTTCGTGTGACACGTTTGACAGTGCCACAGATTAACTGCTGTCAGGAGAGCCAAGGCTGCTCGGCAAACTTACTGAAGGCTAAACGGGTCTGGGGAGAAAATATGGAGATCGAAGCATCTGGGCATTTTCTAGACATTAAGCCAAAAGTGAAATGACAATATGCAGTACTGTGTTATCCATCACCAAACTGTGTGCATTTTCCAGTGAGGTTGTCATAAGAACTCAGGTGCTTTAAAAAATTAAATAAGTGAACTTTTAGCAATCAAAGAGAGAAGTGCATTTTGCTGTTGCAAATAAAGGTAAGTTAAAATTACGGTTGAAATAAATTGAAATGGAAATTTGCCAGAAACTGTAAACTGCTAATTTTGATGTGTAGCCAGTAAATAGGTAGTTTTGGGATGTCAGCTTTATTAGAAAATAATTCTTTTCCAATTTGTTTCATGGTTGTTGGATTGGGTTTTTTGTTGTGATTAGGAAAACAAACCATGTATTTTATAGGAATCTTTATTAATAATTGGATCCATTCAACTTGTAGAATTGATAATCAAAAATAAGAATCTTGCCTCTAGACACGAAGCAGGCTCAGATTGATTATGACGGGTAATTATTTCCACCTGACACATAGTCATTAGCTGTGTTAAATGAGTAGGTGGTCTTGAATCACTTTCCAGAGGTCAAGAGTCTTTACTCCCCCAGTCCTTAAGAGAAGCGTGTGCTTTTTTTTTTTTTTTTTTTTTTTTTTACTCCCTCCAGGGGACAAAGTGAGCATTATGGAAATTTAGTCACCCTGGATAAGGAAGGGCACTTTGTAAATTCACCAATACCATAAAACTTCCATGGGATGAAGCAAGAAGTGTTCATTCTCTGGTCCCGTGGCTGAAGGGTAGCTGATTCAAAGATTTACTTACAAGCACTGTTTCTGTGAAGGAAATGTGCATTGGCTACAGTGTCTTTTTCCAAATAATGCTTTGTAATAAGCACTTAGATTAGAAGCGGGGAAAGAGAAACTTCCCATCAGCCATCCACTGCTCAGTTACTATTTGAAAACCATTTAAAACCTTTATTTAAAACTATTTTAAAACCTTTAAAACATCATTGAAGAATATTCCCACTTGTGAAAAAGTGATAGCCGGTGGGAATCTGTGGTGCTGCTGGGCCTTCCACACAGCCGCTCCTCCTTACTCACTGTCCCCCACCGCCCCTCCCAGGCCTGTCGTGCCCGCCTCCCACCCCGCACACCAGGACTCTCCAGCCTCACTTGGCCACAAAGGCAGTGATAAGACTTGCCCACATATCAGAAATCAGATTGTTCATCCTTGTGCACTTTTCTGGTTTTAAAATGGTTAAATCATCATGGATGAACCATTCTCTGTGCTATCTTTGGCACTCTTCTGTGCCCTTGCTTGTTTTATAAACTACTTGGCACAAATATCCAAAAATGTTCCCTGAGATTGGAGGTGTTGATGGCTTGTCATGCTCAGAAATTCCCTTGGGTTCTGGTCAGGGGTTAAACGAGGGGGAAAAAAAGAAAAAACAACTTTGCCAACTTCGTCACTGCAAGTTAATTTTTAAACATAAAACCATAATTCAACCTAAGTAATTATGACATTTGCTACTATATTGATATGTGCAGAATATTCTGGTGTTCTTTGGTCAGTTTCTCGTAATTAACATCTACTTACATTTTCTAAGAGAGAAGGAGCAGGACTGAAAGACAGTGGGAGGGATGGAGAAAGAAATATTCCCATGGCTTGAAATTCCAGAATATGGGGCGCCTGGATGGCTTGGTCTGTTAAGCATCCAACCCTTGGTTGCGACTCAGGTCATGATCTCATGAGTCATGAGCTCGAGCCCCACATGGAGCCCCTCATTGGGCTCCGTGCTCAGTGGGGAGTCTGCTTAAAGAGTCTCTCCCTCTGCCCCTCCCCCCGCTCGTGCACGCTCTTGCTCGCACACTCTCTCACAAAAATTAAATAAGTCTTTAAAAAATAAAAAAGGAAAGAAAAAAGAAATTCCAGAATAGGGTGACGGAATTAACTGGGTAACAAATTGAGAAGGCCTGGTACAACCTTGAAACACACATAAAGCCACGTTTGTTGTTGTTGAGGCCGTGTGTGTCTGTGCGCTTGTTGGGAGATGACGCACCGGAGGCGCATGGAGACACTCCTCTTGCTCCACGGCGCCTCTGGAGATGGGGGGGGGTCGGAGGCGGGGGAACGCATGGTGGCCCTGCCCACTGCTGACCCCGCCACCTGCACAGCCACTGCTGGGAGGGGACTGGGACCGCTCCAGACTTGTTGGAGGAAGGGGGCCCCTTTGTCTGGGGTGGTAAAGAACCTGCATTTGTTCCCTAAGGACCCATGAGATGTCATTTCATTGTAAACACCCAGTTTCCCTTGAACCTGGTCTCTGAAAGCAGTTAGCTGAACATTCTCGGAGAGCCTCAGTCTGGGGAGCCCGTAGAAAATTGTTTCATGTGTGAGGCGAGCACGCAGGCAGCCTACACTTGCTGCACCAAATAATTATTTCCTGTCTAATACGTTAGCATGTTCCTCAGATTTATTACCAGCAGTTTACAGTTCCCTTAAGTAAAATGCAGAAAAGCACTGCATTTTAACCAAAAGCACAGGTCCCTGGCCCCTCTCCCTGCTGTAACTCGTTACTCTATTACGTGATCTTCACAGGCCCTTCTTTGCAGCCTCATAGAAAACATTGTGAGGGCTGTGTATTAAGGCAGTCCTTGATATTTGAAGACATTAAAATTGATTTATTGATAACCTTTATAAAATGCAGCTACCATCATAGTAAAATTAGGGCCTATTTAAGCATACTTGTTTTTGTCTTTGACTTTTCTTCATATTACTCGTATGAAACAGCAGTGTCTTAAGAGTATAGTGGCAGGCAGCCACAGTAAGGGAGAGGTACGCTTTTGCTAATGACCAAGACACGTCGGATGCGCAGTACCCACGTTTACGAGAAGACACATACTTTTCAAAAGTGTAGGTAAAAGCCTGAATAATCAGACAAGGCACAGGTGATGTCTTTGCCAACTTGTAAGTCTTTGAAATTGGTTTAGGAAAGTTTGCGAGCATTTTTTTTTTTTTTTTAAGATTTTTATTTATTTGAGATAGAGAAGTGGTGGTGGTGGGGAAGGGGCAGAGGGAGAGGCAGAAGTAGGCTCCCCACTCGATCCCAGGACTCTGAGATCATGACCTGAGCCCAAGGTAGAAGCTTAACCAACTGAGCCACCCAGGCGCCCCAGTTTGTGAACATTTTCAGATAGGATAATGGTGTATGCACTTCTGAATTTTAACAGTCAGACACATTTTAATGTCTTACCACCTACCAGTCATCATGTGGTCAATGAGCACTACTTTTGGAGTTAAAATGCACGTGACTTTGAGTCCCAGCTCCATACTGTGTGACCCTGAGCAAGTTGTCTGTAAACAGAATAATCCCCATGCACACAAGCTATGATACGTACTGATGGTACCTAGCACGGTCCCGCTGCACCAGGTACGGAGTAGGCCCAAATGTTCACTCCTAGCTTCCCCTTCCTCTGCTCTTTTAGAGGACAAGTTGAAACCTTGGGTTTGTAAAACTACAGACACCTGTCCCAGGCACCTGGCAAGCATTTTTGAGTGTGTGCACTGGGCTAGAGCCAGGAAGGAAAATCACACATTCTCTCTGCCCTTGCAGGAAAGAGCCAGGCACTACCCTAGACACTTGGCACAAGACTCATTTAGTGCCTGTGTCATACTCTTAGCTGCTTTTTACAGATGAAGAAACTGAGGCCCCAGCCCCCTCCGTGGCCATGAGCTCACGTTCTGGAGTCAGGAAAGTTCACGTCTCAGCTCTGCACTAAAACCTTCTGTGAGTTCTGTAACCTCACTGAGCCTCAGTTTTCCCACTGGTAGCATGAGGTAGCAGTTACAGAAGTACCTGTCTCCTAGGGTACTTTACCTAGAGAATCAGTACTGTATTTAAGTACGGGATTTAAGGCTTGGTCTTTTGGACTCTTTCAGAGTTCTTCCAGGCTGGGCCCAGCAAACCCTTGCAGCCAGTGAGGGACACGAAGCCAAATACTATCAGATTTGGGGTGGGGAGTTTGGGATAGTACAGGTTCATTGCCTGAAGTTGAGTAAGTACCTGAATTTCAGGCAGCTTTTGAATCTGGAGGAAAATGTTTCACATGTTTGTAGCACAAAAGCGGCTAAAATGAAAGGGGACTCCAATATTCATGTAATCATCTGTAGCCCTAAGGGGGGTGTGTCCTTTGTGAGTAACCAAAAATGGGACATAAAAGCATAAATGGGTACATCTTTCAAAAAGTCAGTGTCCTAATACATGCTACCAAGTTCGGTGTGAAGATTTCAGCAACATGTTTAGAAAGATAGTTGGCGGAGATCAGATGACCTTCACACACCACGAACTTAAGAGGGAGATGTGCTGTTTCTGGAGCATCCTTCGTACGTGTGTTGTGTTCAGCCCCTATGAAACTGTGCAGCCTAGCTCATGGAAGCTGAGTCTTGAGAAAGCCCTTCTGGGTTTATTATTTCTGTCTCCTTAGGGCCTCTTGGGGTTTAAAAAATTTCTTTGTATCACACTAAATAAAATATTGACACCATATACTGCAGTTTCTGTAAAAAAAAAAAAAAAAAAAAAAGTCCTCCAATTCCCCTGTCTGTAGATATGGATATTAAAATGTGTGGATTTTTTAGATTTTTTTTTTTTTTATTTGACAGAGAGCACAAGTAGGCAGAGGGAGAGGGAGAAGCAGGCTTTCTGCTGAGCAGGGAGCCCTGATGCGGGGGACTCAATCCCAGAACCCTGGGATCATGACCTGAGCCGAAGGCAGACGCTTAACTGACTGGGCCACGCAGGCGCCCCAGTGCGTGGATTTTTTAAATATCAGTTTGGCAGTCATGGTATTCCGTGGAAGAGAAGGTGGGAAGGAAGCTGTGGGAAGATTGCCTGTTGAATCAGGATGCAGAGGGCGGCCTAGAAATGTAGTTATTCGGCCTGGCCTGTTATTTGAAGCCTGCAAATACAGAAAGCTTTATCCTTTTAACTCAAAGAATGTAGCCATTAATACCGAAAGTCCCTACAGCACTGTGCATATTTCTGTTTGCCCATTTTGTCTCAGACCAGAAAAAATAGAAGCATTTTGGAGTCAGAGTAAAGAACAGTGGTCTGTGGAAGGCATGGGCCCCTGAGAAGCACTGGGAGCAGCGAGCCTCTCATACTGACAGTGGGGGTCTGAACATAGACCACAACCATGTACACACACACGGTTGTTCTCCACAAAAGAGCAAGATAAATTATGGGGCCTTGTTCCCCCCCTCCCCCCCACTTGAGTGTATAAAGCATTATCCTGTCATCTCTCTTACGTGCGGCTCACCATCACTACAAAAGCCACGGAGCATGCAGATTTTGCGCATGTGCCTCCTCCTCTTGAATCAGTCCGGGGGATGTAATGATAAGGGAGTGATCTCGGTAGAGTTAGGAGGAATGAGAAAATGAAAGTTGTAGCAGACTGTATACTACAGTAAAGCAGCACCTCCTTTCTGTGTTGGGTACTTTCATATGCGCAGGTGGATTTGCAGCTGCAGTCACCACACCTCTGGATGTGGCGAAAACAAGAATCATGTTGGCAAAGGTAAGCGTCAAACAACGTATTGTAGACACAGCAGACTCCTGTACGTGGTAGCCCTGGGGCTCGTCTGTATGTCAAGGGAATCAAAGTCACGTGACCCTGTCGTAGCGGCCTGCGGCACGGCGCCTGCCACAGCTGCGGCTGAGGTGGTTTCCACCGCCATCACAGTGAGCGGGGCTTGCAGCACCTTACCTTCCCGAAGGCATCCTCGCCGGCATCGTGTGAGCAGGCGGGGCCGCTGGGGGGCCTCGGCCGTAATGCCACCTTCCGGGTAGCTCTGTTTTCATGGGCGACAGACATGAGGCTCGGAGAGTTGACTGGCTTTCTTCCTGCTTTGCGGCAGATAAGCTAGAGGCTCTGAACTCAGACCGTGTTTGGCCTTAACTGGATGAATCAGGACAGTTGTCAAAATTAAGGACATTTTTCATTAAAAAGAAAAATTGTTACAAAAAAAGCTAGACCAAGATTTCATGGCATGCCCTGCGCATAACACATCTGGAGCACAACCATGGAAAAGAAAAAGTCCTACCCTTAGGGAAAAGTGGAACAGTGAGCGTGGGATTCTGTTATGTAGGTGGACAAGGCCAAACCCGAGAGAATTGGTCCTGTTTCAAATGGAACATCATACTCTTTATTAAATGTGTTTATTAGCTACTCAGGTAAGTTCATAATTGGACCATATAGACTGATTATTCCCCATTCTTCTCTGAGCAGTTACTATTGCTTTTGGTCTTTCTCCCATTAAACAGCAGTTGGCGAATTACCTAGGTGAGCTCTGAGTCCAGTTTGATGATGCGAGAACCTAGGAAAGCAGCTTCCTGTCAGTCAGGGCTTACCTGTGGGTGGGAATGGAAGGGCTTCAGGTCTTGTGTGATCCAGGGGCCCTGATTCCCGAGAAGCTCCCCACCCTGTTTCAGACTGTCCTAGAAGAGGGTGGTCAGGAGCCGTGCATCTGAGGATCAGTTGGGGAATTTCATAAGGTAATGGCTTTGTCTGTTGTCCTGTTGCACAGGCTGGTTCCAGCACCGCTAGTGGGAATGTGCTGTCTGCGCTGCACGGGGTCTGGAGGACACAGGGGCTGTCAGGGTAAGCATAAGAAGGAAGGTGAAACCGTCTTTCTGCCTCTTCACGGGCTCTTCTTCCTTTAGCCTGAACAGGATGAACCCCTTTCCTTCCTTCTGATTGTCCTGGTTGGGTCTCTTTATTTACATTTGCACAAAACATATTTGACGTTGCCTGTGTGAGATGCTAGTGCACAGTCATGTTGACGCAGTGTCTAGCCACGTGATCACCAGTCTTGTCTGTCTGGTTGTTGGAGGACATCCATGTGCCTGCTCCCCGCCCCACCCTGCCCCAGGTTCCGGGTTGCAGCTCTGAGCAAACAGGATTGCAGTTATGGAATGCAGGAATGCAGGTGAGCGAGGGTGACATTTAGGAGAAAGCACTGGTCCCTGGGGAGACTTACTGTGATCAATAACAGTTACTTTCACCACACCTCGCTTGAAACCCGCTTCGTGCTGTGCTCAGTGTCCAGACTTTAAGCACCGTGTCCTAAAACGCTTCCTTTGCCAAATGTGCTTTCATGTTGCTTTTACCATCTGTGCCATCGCTGTGTTGGGGTCTGTACGGGTACGTGACATGACAGTGTGCTCTTTGGAATGACCTACCAGGGATTCTCCTGAGAGAGCAGAGCCGCGGCCGCCTCCTGGAGGGCCAGGCGGCAGCGTCGTGGCGGCGCGTGGCCCCTGGGGACAGCAGCGCTCGGCCAGTGCCACCTCCTCTTCCCAGTGCTGTGGGGATGATTCGATCGTAGGGTTGTGTGCATTTGACAGGTCTTTCGGCCAGTTGGTAGTTGGGGAACATGAGATGTATCGGTTAGGACGCAGGTGAGGTTTTTGCAGGAGAATGGCCCCATCCTCTCTTCAGAATATCCAGCCGGTAGTTTGAAAAGTAGGTCATGTTGGGTGGTTTTGTTGAATGGGCCAGCTCTGATGGACTGGTGGCGGTTGATGACAACCTTAAGGATTTGAGACAAGAAGCAGGTGTAACAGGACGGGGTGTTTGAGCATGAGCAGGGGAGCGGCAGAGTGGGGGCCCATGTGCCACTGTCGGCCACTTACAGCCAACACAGCATTAGTACGAATCGGGTTGCTCGTACCTTAGACACGCTGATTTTGACACGAATTTCACATTGAACAGTGAAATGGTGTGAGAGAAGGAAGAGGCTCTAAAGCCACTTCTAAGTAGCAGGTAGAAGATTCTCAGTGTTTCAGGTAGTTTGGGGCCACGCAGAGATGTTGTGTGCAGCTTGTTTAGATCATAAAGTCAAAATGCTGAATTTCACGGCCCTCTTTGTTTCACTCTGGCTCCTATTAGGTTTTATGGCAACTCACAGCTAGACCTCCGCTCCTGACTTAGCTCTGTGGGGTCGGTATGGGGCTGCAGTGCATCAGCCTTTCTTGAGACAGTGGCCAGATGCGGGTACGGCAGGATGGGCAGAACCCTGGCCCCCGGGAGCTTGTGGAGAAGGAATTCCCGTGAGGAGATGATGGAACCCAGACCCTCCCTAGCCCAGCTGTGTCGTGTGCTCGGTGTTACGTAACTGGGCAGCGCCAGAATTAGAGGCAGAGGACGGGCTCCGTGAACATGCCCAGGGCCCCTCTGTCCCCGCACTAGCCCTGAAAAGGTAATTGGGAATTCTGCTTACACATTGTGGTCCTTAGCAGGGTAGTCCAAGCAGCCATGCTGGTCATTTAAGAAATGCTAGTTTTTACTAGCTTCCTACTAATAGGATAAAAGGCACCAAATAATTTGACAACAGAATTGTAACTCAAGGCAAACAAAACAAAACAAAAAATCCCCGCTAATGTGGGCCGCTGTTGTAAAACCATTTCTGGGTATCCCAGCCTGCCTCCCCTGTCTGGTTCCCACACAGCCCCTGCTGGCCTTCCGCCACCTCGAAGCACCCTTGCATGTTTCTGGAGTGTTCCCGTGGCCTCACAGGTGCAGCTTCCCCACCCTGCAGGGAAAGGGTGCTGGCCTCTCGGGGACAAGTGGGGACGCTGTGGTCTCCATGTTGGTTCTCACAGGGGAGGACATTGTTCTGGCACCTACTTGGAATATATGCTCTCAGGCCGACTGGTTTCTCACAAATAAAAATACCACCCGGTCAGTCAGTCCAACAGCCAGAAAGCAGATGGGGAAGCCTGTTTGTCCAGCATTGCGCCTTCTCCCTTGTCCTGTTCCTTAACTGGCTTTTCGTGTTTCTTGACTGTGCCCTTCATGGAATGACCACAGCCACCCCGCGTGTACCCCCACCGTGCCCTGTGCACTGTGTTTGTTCGTCTGTTCCCTCGTGTGATCCGTGGTCCCGAGAACACAGCCCCACTCTGCTCGAGTCTTTGCCTCCTCGTTCGCTGGGGCGCCCACTGTACAAACGACTCTGTTTTAGGGCTGTAATTATGTTAATAGATTCAGTTGTCATCTAGTGAAACCAGAAACTGCTTCCATCTGTCTCTTGCCAGGAGCAGCTGAGTTTGTTAGCAGCAAAAGCTGAACCAAGACACAGGTTTCAGAAATAAGTCAGCTCGTGGGGGGGCGGGGGAGGGAGGCTTTCGTGGCAGAGGTGGTCTTCTGCTGACCTCCCTCCCAGCACCCTTCCCTGTGCAGGGAGGGCCAAGAGGAGGCATCTGTGTTTCAGGCCAGAAGGTCCCAGGGGACTTGGTGAGTTTCTGTCCTCACCAACCACCTCATGCAAAAACTGCATGATGCTGAGCTGAACAACTTTTTCCTCCTATAGTTTTCATGGTTGCTTCTAGACAAGAACAAGAGGGTCTCATCTGTAGTATTTTAATGATTTAAATCCTTCCCTAACTGAAGGGCCACCTGAGGCTAAGTCCGTTTTCCTCCTAAGTGCCCAGTGTGATACTCAGAGGGGAGGCCAGGTGAGCTGTCCCGGCAGGCATGCAGAAACTGGTGTGTGGGGGGGGTGGTCTCATCTGTCCACTTCCTTGGCTCATCCCTATTTACCTATTTACTGTGGATGATTTTCCTCTTAGAGGTTATGTCCTTTTCACATAACATGACCATTTTCACTTTTTTTCCCTAGACCTGATCCGAAGTGTCCTCACTACTAGGCCCCCTAGTTCTGATCTTTACTGCTTTACAAAAGTAATACTCCTGGTAAAAAGGCTCACTTATTCTAGAAAGACAGGTAGGGACTGTTGTCGTTGTGCCCTCGAGAGAAAGTTGAGGCCTTGGAATACATGCGCACATCCTTGCCGTGGTCACACGTACAGCCTTGGGACTTTTGTCAGAACCCACTGTGCAGAATCAGTGTCGGTTCCTGTGGGCTGCCTCAGAGGGGGGCTCTCTGCAGTCACTCTGGTACCTGCAGTGTTGTGAGGAACATCTCTGAACACATACCTGTGCGCAGCCACAGGATGGTTTTTGAAGAGTGAACCTCCCAATTTGCATCCCCAGTAAGTTCTTTTACTTTGCCTTTGTTTCTTCCAAAATTGCTCCTCTGGCCTTGTGTGGTGCATGGGGACTGAACCTTCGAGGAGGTGCTATCCCCAGACCGTTGACAAATAGGGAATGCACGGAGATTCACTTTCCTGTTCTGGCATCACATTTGTGGGCCTCTAAGGACATAATGCAGCCGAGTCACTGGGAGGAGTGGCAGGGCTGTTGGAAACTCTCCACCACCCAGAGCCTACCTTCCCTTCCCAGGGTGGGCCACGGCACGACCCAGGATTCAGGCCTTGGACTCCTTTACCAGAGTCCGTTTCAGCATCTCCCAAAGACAAAACCGGCCTGGAAGTTTTCAGCAGAACTATTGAGGGGACAGAGTTAGTCTTTCTTGACTAATTACTGGACTTAATTGTGAGGCTCACAAGTAAGCTGTTTGGTATTTAGCCACGTTAGCCAACAAACAGCTGGGCCCAAACTTCAACAAGTCTACTTGGGAATGTAATTTAGTGCCATTCTGGGAGAAAAAAAGCACACGCTCTAAGTGCTGTGTGGGGTTTAATGAGCATGGTGTGCTGAGTTGAGCAAGCTGTGGGTGTTGGAATTTAACCTTTTTTACACACACCAATTTAAAAGGAATCTTTCCTCCTGCTTTTTTCCCCTCCCTAGATTATTTGCAGGTGTCTTCCCTCGAATGGCAGCCATCAGTCTGGGAGGTTTCATCTTTCTTGGTGCTTATGAGCAAACCCGCAGCTTGCTCTTGGAACTTGGCAGAGCGCGCCCCTGAATTGGGGATGGTACCCCAAGCACGGCTCTCAAGAAAGGGGACGCCGGGGGAGCAGCCGAGTGCTCCCCTGCACCGGGCTCGTGTGTGAAGATGGGGACCTTGAGAACAGTGTCTTCCCTGCTGTTGGATGGCTGGCACGCTCACGTGGCACCCTGGCCACAGTGGTACTCTCAACCCTTTCTCAGGCCCCTGAATAAAGCCGTGAGGTGATGCTGAGTCCAGGCTGCTCAGGGCCTTCATTTGATCTGCAGCTGATCTCGCATTTCCACAGACGCTTCTAATTCCAATGGGGAGGCTGGACCGGGAGCAGGAAGGAAGGAGACTCTGAGGGAAGGTGGGGCCCGTGGCTGGGTGTCTCCCCATGGGGGTGCTTAGGGCTGTCTTCTGGGCAGCCAGGCTGCTACTCTTAATTTCCCTCAGATTTCCCCTAAAAACACGATTGTAGCATTTTAGAGAGAAGCATCCAGCAGCTCACGTGGTGTGTGCGAGAAAGCAAGCAGCTGCAGCCCAGGGCCTGGGTGGGCCTGGCTGGCTCCAGGACAGGAGGGCACGGCGGGCCCACTGGGGGCCTGGGCTGGCTGGGAGACCGAGCACGGCGTCTTCGTGCCTAGTCGGGAAGGTATGCTGTGCAGTCCTGGAAATGAGCCGGGATAAGATGGGGAGGTCACCATTTCAGAGCTTGACTAATAAGCTCCAGGTGTTTGTTAGAAGAATTCCGAGAGAAATCTCAGGAATCTAGGGGTGGTGTATCTTCCCCGGAGCAAAGAAGTGTATGATTTTGGGAAAACAGATCATTAAAGGCAGAATAACTGCATTTGTAAGGGAGTTTCTGGAAGGGAAGGGGGTGAAACGGTGGGTAGAAGAATGGCCCCAGCCACACCATCAACATTTATAAATGAACCTTTATTAAAGACACTTCAATGCTGTTAGACACTTCAGTATTTTACATGTTTTTCAACGTACATTGTACCAAAAGTTCTATAAATAAATAACTTTGTACATAAAAGTAATACTTCCTCTTTCACATTGCCTCTCAGAAGCAGCAAATTCACATATTTTGTGGAAGTAACATTAATCAGTTGACTGTTGAGAACACAATTCTAAATGTGCTTTACCTTTTAGAACAGTGATGACACCGGACAGTAAAATTTTAACAACCGTTTTGTCAGTCTCTACCTTCAGCTTTTTGGCTAAAGGAACTTGCTTTCTGAGATTTTTTTAAGGACCTTGTTTCAATGTAATTTTTCCTGAAATACACATTGGCACTCACAAGATGATTAGCTACAGGTCTCGAAAGTGCAAATATACCCAGGTCGGGGGCTTCGACTCGTTACGGTCCCATCCCGGGTCTGTCTGTGTGAGGGAAGGACGTGGACAGACGTGCTCCGGATCCTCAGTAGAGAGAAGCTAGCCCTGAAAAGTAAGGACTCGACCCTTTTTCTCCCCCATGATCAATGTCACATGAATTATATTGGCACAACTAAAACATCACTATTGAAAAATCCACAGGTACCAACACCAGCAGCCTCTACCTTAGTAAAATAAGCCTCAAAGGACAATCGGGTGATACTTGTGACCACCACGTTTGATTTTCTCAGAGAAAAAAAGGCAGTGCTTCATTGTTTGGAACAAAGGCTTGCGGTGGATCGACAACCCGCCTTCTGCTTGGCAAGGAACTTAAACTTACAGGAGCAAGTCCCGTAGGGCAGAAGTACGGGGCGACGCGGACATCTCAGGACGCTGCGGGGAGGCGAGCTGCGGGAGCGTTACTGACGGGAAGTGGATTCCAATGCACATGAAGGCCCAGGCTGGGCCGCATCCTGGGGTGTTGTCCTGGGAAGTGCAAGGCAAGCCCCAGGCCTGCCCTCCCCCCCCCGCCCTCCAGAAACTCCTGGGAGCAAATGTGGTTTTTAGCCTCTACAAATCCCATCCATGCATTAAGGCACCAGAACTCTTCCCCACCCCGCTTCCAAAATTAAACAGCAACCTGATATGAAAAATAATATTGTCAAAACTGTACTCTTTTTTTCTGTTAACCATGCACTAAAGATTAAAATAGCCTCTGCAAAAGATATATAATATATAGGAAATCTCTGAAAACTCTTATGTACAAGGGTATCAAATACTTTTCTGCTTTTGTACACAATAGCCTCTTGCAGTTCTGCGCTTCAGCTGCAAGTCCTTTAAACCACGGACACTCCACATGGAAGTTTAAAAACTCTGTACACATCAGTGACGCTTGAATTCAAGCTTCCTTACAGCCTCTCCTACCTCTCTTTCCTGTAGAGACGGGCATAAGAGCTGAGGTAGACAAAGCCTAGATTTTCGGTGCGAAGAGCAGGGACACGCCCCGCTTCCCGGGGGGCTGTCCAGTCGGCACTGGGGCCTCGGGGCTGGAGTCACATGCCTGGGGGAGGTGTCCGTTGGAAAGAAGCAAGTGCTGGCCTTCACTGGAGCCCTCAGGAAAGCCCATGGCGGCTTCAGTGAGCTCAGGACTGCCTGAAGTTAATGTCGAGGGAGGCTGGAGGTCTATGGAGTCTGGCTCACACAACCTTGCTAAAGTCCATGAAGAGGCCTCTGTGAGAAGGGAGAGGGCGCGTCAGAGCCTGCAGGCCGGCTGCTTACCTGCCCCCCGCCCCCAAATCGGTGCTGCCCTGGGAGACCGTGAACATCTGCCTACCTTTCCCATCTGCAGGTGCCAGTGGCTTTTTCTTCAAGGATGTCAGCATTCTGTCGTGGTTACTGGGGTAGAGGGACCCCCTGCAGTCGGTGCGGGACCCTTCAGCAGTCCCACTGGTCAGATGAGGCAGAGAATGTTCTCGGTCCATCTGATTGGGCTCCTGGCTGCTTAGTGTCCCTGGCTGTGTATGGTCTCTGGTCATAGGTGGCAGATAGAGAGCTTGTTCCTTGCAGTAACCGTCTGTGTCCGTGCTGCAGTCACCACATGCCACTGAGCCACCGTGCTCTGCGGGACCAAGCCGAGACAGATTAGAGCCACGGCCTCCGAGGTCTGCATCCCCGCCCAGAACAGGGAGCTGCAGTCCCCAGCGGGGAGGACTGAGCCCTGCTTAGACCAACTCTTTCAAACCTCCCCTCTCCCCTGGGTGTGGTCACAGGAGGAGGACTGGGCAAATACCAAGCCATTAAGGAAGGATGGGCCTTCCATGTTTCAACGGTTCAGATGAATTGCTTCATGAGAGAAGATGATCCTACTGTTTTGATCACAGGAAAAAATAAAATCCCACTGCATGACATACCACGTTGTCAGGAGTCTTCGGAATAATTAGAAATATAGCCTCAAAAATAGGCTTGGTGAAAACGTACTTTAAGTAAAGGGCAAGGCCCAACCTGAATTGCTTGTAAATCTGGAAAGTTCAAGCCCAGGCTCACCACACCACAGATTTATGTAAGAGACCTACTACTTCAGAATTACAAGAGCCAGGCCACAGCGTCCTGTTTCTACACCAAATACCAAATTCTGAGATCCTTGTAGACCCATAATGCATCTCTCACTTTTATTTAATGAACAGGTCTATCTGAATTTTGATTTCAAGAATGGAAGACTTTTCCCAACGAGAGCATCTCTTACCCATCTTCTGTGGCCCAGGCCTCCGCCGGGCTTTCTCCATCACGTTCCAGGGTTCCCTGTTACAGCCCACACAGAGCTTGGGCTGCCTGCACGCAGAGCCATGAGCATCCACTTCCGAGAACAGGCTGGTGTCCGCTGGACAAACACCTGCAGTAAAATGATGGGCTTAGCTTGTCAGGGTGAGCTTGATGAAAACAGGTGGCGCTTACTAGAACAGTCCCTTTTACGCTGTTCTTTACAATGGTAGGTGCCTGCTGACCAGCAAGAAGCATTTTAACACACGCTACCCCACAGGCAGGCCTTTCAGTGTCCGGGGCCAAGCTGGTGAGCAGTCCGTGTGAGGATGGACTTGCCCCCTGTAAGCACTCAGTCTCCCCTGTAGAGGCAGCTCACCCTGGGAGAGCTTTCTAGTAGCAGAGATTGGACCACAGAGCAGGTCTGGGCCCATCCCCTACTCAACAAATGGATTGGTTTCAGGGCCTGTAATGGCCTTTGCAGCTTCTTCAGTCCTACCTTATCCTGACCAGGAAATGCTGAGCCCAATATAGCAACTTCCCGGGGGTTGGACTTTTAAAACCTTGCAGAACATGCGTAGGATAGGGCCAAAAAAAACCCCAACAGAAGGCCTGAGTCTGCCAGCCTTTGAGGTCAGACGCACTCAGCATTAAGGCCGTGCACCTGCCCTAGGGAGGGGCAGAGGCTCATGAGGACAGGGTCACAGCAGACTTTGAGGCCTTACCGTTGCTCTCGATGTGCCCATTGGCCTGAGGGCCACCCTCTGTCCTGATCACAGTTTCCTGCCGGTCAGAAAGAGTCCCCTGAGACGAGAGGTAGCTTGGAACATCTGGTGGCACAATGGTTTCATCTGCAAGGAGATAGGACAGTCAGATACCAGGTGTCCCCCATCCTTCGTGGGGATTAGCTGTGAAAACATGGGCTCCCTATCCGGCGCAGACACGAGGCTCTCCTGACAGCAGCTGCCCAGGCTGTGCAGAGATGGTCTGGAGGGCCCGGCTTAGCCCCACTTTCCACTTGGGTGTAAAAAAATACAGCAGCTGGAGCTCTGAGCCCACGAGAGAGCGAGCAGGGATGGTGAGGGAGCCAGAACCAGCAGAAGCACGATACGGGTGGTCACTGCAGCAATGAGCCACCACGCAGCCACCGCACTCGGGCCCGGGGCACCCCGCCGGCACAGCCCCGCACCCTGCCTCCTCCCCACACAGCGCCGTGCTTCCCTCCTGCCCCTGGGGGCTGAGCTCAGCCAGCAAGGCTGACCTGTGTTGGTGACACTGTACTCCTCGCTCTTCTTCCGGGTCTGGTAGATGATGCACACCCAGACCAGGGACGTCAGGACGATGCTGCACACCACGGCGATGGTGAAGATGCCCACAGTGCTCCCGTCCTTCCTGCAGCCGGGGGCGGGCCGGATGCTCAACTGGCTGTGGGCGCGCTCCGTGCCCAGGGTGTTGGAGATCTCGCACGTGTACTGGCCCGCGTCCTCCACCACCACGTTCTGGACGATGAGCAACTGGTTGCCAGGCGTGAAGTGGTGCCGCTCGGTGAGGCTCAGAGGGCGGCCCCCCTTTAACCAGGTGATGCGGGGCGTCGGGTTCCCGGTTGCTTTGCACTGGAGTGCCACCGTTTCTCCCATGGACACCACACGGTCCTCTAGGGGTGCCACCAAGGATGGGGTTTCTGCAAGAAGTCAGAGGAGACCGGACGGTTATTCTGGGGGCCTGCCCTGCCTTCCAGACAGATCCTGTAGCAGAGTGGTGAGCTTTCCAGACCTCACACGATGACTAAATCACAACCATTCTGGGGGGTGGCTGTGGCCAGAAGGAAGAACTACTGGGCCACAGAGAAGCCCCCTCTCTCCCCTACCTGTCCTGTGCCGGGCTTGTGTGTCTATTCTTCAGCAGAACACACCCCTCCAGCCCGAAGGCAGTCTGAGAATGTTCCATACCAAAGCCCTATGAAAAACACCCCCTTAATTCACTAAAAACAAACAAACAAAAAAACCCACTTGTCGAGCTGCTTTCTAACATTTTCTGGAAAGTTTTAAACAGAGAAGCAGCCTGGCACGCTCAGTCATGGCCTGCCGCCCGGAGGGGTGACACCCCTGCCCCCTTGGCGCACGCGCGGACTATACTCAGTGTGCGAGTGCTCGGACCAAAGACCGTCAGGGTGGCGTTCGCGGAAACGGTGCCGGCCGAGTTCTGGGCCGTGCAGCTGTACACCCCCATGTCCTCGATCTTCACGTTCGTGATGAAAAACACGTCGTCGTCGGGCATGACGTGCATGCGTCGCTCACGAGCGGCAGGGAAGTCCGTGCCTCCATCCTTCTGCCAAGCGATCTGGGGGTTAGGATGGCCGGTGGCAGCACACTCGAGGCGGGCCGTGGTGCCGGTCCGGATGGCAATGTCGTGGGGCATTTTGGTGAAGGACGGCAACACTGCAAAATACAAACAGCGTCAGGCTCGCAGGGACAAGAGCTGGATGCAAAGGCTGGGACAGTCCTCTGGCAAAGAGCCCCCCGCTCGGCGGGTGGCTGTCCCCTCCCCACCCTCTGCACCAGCGTCTGTGAGAGCAGTCGGCTCCCCCAAACTGCCAGCATCCTGCTTCCATGGCTCGCTCTCGTCACCCCAAGGCTGCCTAGCACCCCGTCACGTGCAAACCATTTATGAGGCAGTTCCTCTAGGGGGACAGCCCGTAAATACTGGGGTCTGACACTTGCCTGCCTCCATTAACCACCAGAACAGCCTGGACAGGACATAATGACGGAGAAGGAGGATGTGCCCTCGCCCTAGAGCAGCGGGATGCCCTTCCCTGTTGGGGAACCCCATGGCGGAGAGGCGGTTCGGGGCCCCCTCATTGGGCACTGGCCAGCTGTAGGCAGCCGGCTAGCTTTTTTCTGCCCCTACTCCCTGGCCCAGCGGCGAGAGCACATGCCAGGACACCACTGCAGTTCCCGTCGGGGTTACTTCGGTGGCAAGTCTAACAGTTCACGGAGCTTTTGATACAAAGGCCTCCTTCAGAATAAGCCAAGACAACAGGCAAAGTGGGGTAAAAGAATGTGTTTCCCTGTGGTCTTTAAGGGCTCCAAGACACGGTGGTTCCAGCACTTACTACCTGGAGGCTTAATAACCAGGTTAGGGTGCTGGGGTGCTTAACTCCTCTGGCTGTTGGCTTCCCTTATTCTGCTCTAAATTCACTGTGACAATTAGCAGCCCTGAGAATAGCAACCTTGAGAGGCTCTAAAGTTCAGAGGGCAGGAGCTTCCCCACAATCAGGGTATGCTCAGAATCTGGACACCGGACAGCATGGTTTGCGGAGAATAATAAATGGATAAAAGCACAAGACTTGGGCCCATCATTTCATTTAACATTAAAAAAAAAGAAAGAAAGAAAAGTCACCAGAAACAGGAAAATCACTGAGAATAACCCTTCTATCTACAGAACTTGCTCTGGGGCCCCCGGGCAACTAGGGACACAGTAATGTCCTGAAGAGGCTCAGTGTCTCCGGTCTGCAGCCTTCCTGCACGGGCACGGAGAACCACGTGTGGCTTTGGGGGAGCGCACACCAGAGTAAACTGCGCTGCCTCACCGTTCACAACGAGCCTGGCCTTGTGCGAGTAGGTGGAGCCAAAGTGGTTGGTGATGACACACTGATAGCGGCCCTCGTGTCCGAACGTGACATGGCGCAGGTGCAGGATGGTGGTGTACTCCATCACCTTCCCGTCCTGGGCACGGACGTGGGCGAAGTTCTCCATGTCGGCGTTGGCCAGGGCCTCGTTGTCCTTCTTCCAGGCAAACGTCATGGGGGAGCTGCTGCTGCTGGCGGCAGAGCACGTGAACCGGATGTCCTTGCCCACGATGGCCACGGTGGGCTCTGGCTGGGTGATAATCTGTGGTTTTGGTAGGTCATCTGTGGAGAGGAGAGCCAAACTGAAGAGTCTCCCACCCGGGCTCTCCAGCCACACAGGGGCCGCACCTTTCAGGGCCTCTGCTCGCCCTCAGCTCCACCAGACCCTGTAAGCGCCTCCCACCGTGGATAATCTGGCCTTATCCGACTGGAGACCCCAGAGCAGTGATCACCTCTGGGACCACACTCCTTGACGACAAACCCATCCACCAGTGCTCGTGTGCCAAGGCATACGTCTCAGCAGTCAGTCTCCATGAGACCACTACAGTGCACTTTACTTGCTCACCTCAACACAAAGTGCACTAACACAGAGTCTGGAACCGTCCATTGTGATTGCACAGACCTTACCCACCAACTTCACTCCAAGAGGAGGGGAGTGAGGAGCACTTCCAGAATGCGAGACAGATGCCTCTAAAAATCTGCACCTCCATTAAAGCCACAGCCAACACTAGCGAAAATGGTTCTCATCAGCCTTTTCAGAATTCTGGAAAGCTGTACCAAGCAAAGGCTGTAACAACGCATGGAGGGTTAACTCAAGAAAACGCCTGAATCTCAGGAGGGAAAATGAGCTTTGTGGCATTTAACTTGGCTTAAGTCCCATCCCTCTCTGCCTCACTTTGTGGTAGCCTGAAAACCCAGCAGCCAAGCGACCACTGAGGGGGGGCGCAGAATGGCTGTGGAGCCTCCACAAAAGCCCCATCCTCTGGCATTATTTGAGCTGATGCAGTTGGCTCGGCAAGGGAGCCCTGGCCCTAGGACATGGGACAAAAACAAGCGGCAGCCAGCGGTGAGGCAGTATCCACTGGAGCCAATAGGAGGCTGGCCCAGAAACCAAAAAGGAAGAGAAAGCAGTGAATGAAAAGGTCCAGCATGTTCCTGAGGATCTAGAAGGCCACGTGCACGCACAGGGCTCTTATGAATGCCCGAGAAAGCCCTGAGAGGAGCCTCATTTCTCACCTGTGATTTCGGATCGGTGCCAACAGGAAGTGGCTGCATACCCTCAGCACAACAGAGATGCTGGGCAAAGGATGGGAGACTTTGTGAGGTGATTGAAGGGTTCTCTGTCCAGTCATTAGCTAACCAGGGAGGCACTTCAACTGCCGCATAGAACAGACTACAGTATTTGTCCAGGAAAGTCACTCAACAAATTGTAATAATACACAGAACAACAACAAACCAGGGACAAGATGGAGGGAGAATCTGATCTCTGGACTTGCCACATTATTGTAAAGGCTCAGTTTCCAATAAAAAACTACCAAACATGCAAAGAAACAGGGAAAAAAAAGCAGTCAATGGAAACTGTTCTTGAGGAAGCCCAGCTTTTAGACATAAAACTTTAAATTGGCTTTATAAAATATAATCAAAGAACTAAAGAAAATCATGTCAAAGAAAATTAAAGTATCTGAATACTTTCCCACCAAACAAAGAATGCCAATAAAGAACTAGTAATTGTAGAAGTAAACCAAATGTAAATGTGGGAGTTTAAAAGTATAATAACGGAAATGAAAAATTCACTAGAGGGGCTCAATAGTCCCACTGAGCAGACAGAAGAGCTGGTGAAATTGAGACTATCCAATCCAAGAAACAAAAAGCCATGAAGGCTAAGGAACAGTCCCAGAGACTTGTGGGACAGCCTCAAGCATAACAACATACAAATAATGGGAGTCCAATAAGGAGAAGAAAGAAAAGAAACAGTATTTGTAGAATAGCCCCAAAGCTCCCAAATTTGATGAAAAACAGGCACCTACCCATCCATGAAGTTCAACAAATCCAAAAAGGATAAACTCAAAGATCCCCACCCAGAAACTTAACAGTCAAACTGTCAGAAGCCAGAGACAAATAATCTTAAAAGGAACAGGAGAGCTGCAACCCTTCACACAGAAGGGATCCTCAGTGGCATGAACAGCTGATTCCTCATCGGAAACCACGGAGGTGAGTAGGCAGACACATTCAAAGCACTGAAAGAGTGTCAGCTATGAATTCTGTATCCAGCAAAACCGTCTTTCAAAGGTGAAGGAGAAATTAAATCACTCTCAGATCTAAAAACAGAAAACCTGACAGAATTCACTGCTACCAGACCTGCCCTACAAGAAATACTAAAGGGAATCCTTCAGGCCGAAATGAAAGGACACAATAGTAACTCAAATCCACACAAATAAAAAACACCGTTAAAATAACTACATGTGCAAGTATGCAAGTACATATTGTTGTTTATAACATTCTTCTGTCTGACTTAAAAGGCAACTACATAGAGCAATAATCACAAAACTGTTGATAAGCTTATGATAAATAAAGATATAATTTATAGGACAACAGAACCTTTAAAAAGGAGGAGCTCCACAAATGGAGCTTAGTAGGAGCAAAATTTTGCATACTACTGAAGTTAATTCCATTATTAATCTGAACTAGATTGTTTTAAGATGTTAATTATAATCACTACATCAATCATTAAGAAAATAACTCAAAAAATGGTAAAATAAATAAGGGAATTAAAATGGTATATTAGAAGACATATAATACAAAACCAGTCAGTAATGAAGAAACACAGGAACAAAAAACACAGAACACATAGGAAACAAATAGCAAGCAGCAAATTCTATCTTACCAGTAATTACATCAAACAAATCAATTAAACCCTCTAGTCAAAACACAAGATTACCAAAATGGATAAAAATGGATAAAAACCTATGCTTTCTTGTTGTGAGAGATACACTTTGGATTCAAAGTCACAAACAGGAAAACAGTTGCCAAAAGAGAGTTACGGTGTCTATACTAATATCAGATAAAATAAACTTTAGGACAGAAATGGTTACGAGGGAGAAGGAGTAACTTTTTTTTTTTTTAAGATTTTATTTATTTATTTATTTGAGAGAGAATGAGAGAGAGAGAGCACATGAGAGGGGGGTGAAGCTGACTCCCTGCTGAGCAGGGAGCCCGATGCGGGACTCGATCCAGGGACTCCAGGATCATGACCTGAGCCGAAGGCAGTCGCTTAACCAACTGAGCCACCCAGGCGCCCCTGGAGTAACTTTTTATAAATGTAAAACAATCCATCCCCAAGACCTAAACATCAAACATATATGCACCTAACAGAGCTCCACAAAACAAGCAGCAGAAACTGACAAAACTGGAGAAAGAAATGGACAGTGCAACAACAGTTTGTAGAACTCAATACTTCACGTTCAATGATCGGATAAAACCATTAGGCAGAAGATCAGTAAGGCAACAGGAAACTTGAATGACACTATAAACCAAATAGACCTATTAGATATCTACAGACCATTCCACCCTACAACAGCAGAATAAACATTTTTCAAGCACATGTGGAATATTCTCCAACAGAGACTGTATGTTAGATTAAAAAACAAATCTCAATAAATTTTAAAAAAGACAGAAATCATAGAGTGTCTTTGCTGACAGTGGAATGAAGCCAGAAATCAGTATCAGAAGGAATACTGGGAATCTAATTTGCAGAAACTACACTGCTCTTCTGTAAGTCAGAGAAGAAATCGTAAGAGAAATTAGAAAATATTTTGAGATGAATGAAAATGAAAACACAAATACCAAAACTTAAATGCAGCCTAAAACAGTGCTTCTAAGAGATTCAGAGCTGTAATTGCCTACATTAAGGAAGATCTCAAATTAATAACCTCATCTTATTCTTTAAGAAATCAGAAAAGCAAGCTATACCCAAACCAAGAAGAAGGAAATAATGACCAGAGCAGAAATAAATAAAAGAGAAAAATAGAGGGGGGAGAAAAAAAAAAATCAATGAAAACAAACGTTACTTCTTTGAAAATACTAACAAAATTGAAGAATCTGTAGACTCGTAGAGTGGGGAGGTGGGGAGAAGATTTCAAACACTAAGATTAGGAAAAAAAGAGGGTACATTACTACTATAACCTTACAGCAATGAACAGGAATACTATGAATCATTTGTATGCCAACAAATGAGATAACCTCATATATGCACAGATTCTGAAAAAGACAAACTACCAACACTGACTCAAGAAGAAATAAAATCTGAAAAGATGGTAACACGTAGAGAAACAGAATAAATAATTTTAAAACGTCCCACAAAGAAAAGGCCAGATCCCAAGGACTACTCTAGTAAATTTTCTCCAAAATTAAAGAATAATTACCACTAATCCTTCACATATCCTTCCAAAAAGATAGGTGAGGAGTAAACATTTCCTAACTCCACTGAATGAGTCAAGTAGTCCCAGATAACAAAATGAAAGAAAAACTAAACTACAGACCTTTATGAGTACAGATGCAAAAATCTTCAACAAATACACTGGTAAACCAAATCCCACAAAAAGGATTATACACCATGATCAAGTTAGATTTATCCCAGAAATGCAAGTTTAGTTTAATATCCAAAAAATCAATGTAATACACCATATCAATAAAGGGGAAAAAAAATCCCATGTGATCACCTCAACAGATGTGGCAAAAAACATTTGACAAAATCCGACACCCTTTCATGATAAAAATACTCAAAAAATTAGAAACAGAAGGGCATTCCTCAACCAAATAAAGGTCATCTATGAAAAACCCACAACATCATATCTAATGGTGAAAGAACTGAATGCTTTCCCCCAAGTCAGGAAAGACCAGGACGTTTGCCCTCACCACTTCTACTCAACACTGCACTGGAGGCTCAACCCAGGGCAATCAGGCAAGAAAAAAATAAAAGCTATCAAGATTGGAAAGGAAGAAGTAAAACTCCTGATTTCGGCTCAGGTCATGGTCTCAGGGTTACGAGATTGGGCCCTGTGTAGGGCTCCATGCTGGGTGTGGAGCCTGCTTAAGATTCTCCCTCTGCCTCTGCCCCTCCCCACCCGGGGCTCTGGGCTTGCTTGCTCTCAAAAACAAACAAAAAAAAGTACTGATACATACTAAAAAATTAGGCTGTTAAAAAAGCTAGTCACAAAAGGCCATATATTGTAGGATTCCATTTATATGAAAGATCCAGAACAGATAAATCATAGAGATACAATGTAGAGTCGTGGCTGTCAGGGCCTGGCGACAGGGGAGCATAGGGTGTGACTGCTGTGAACACAGAATTTCTTTTACGGGTGATGAAAATGTTCTACAAGTAGATGGTAGTGAGGGTTATACAACTTTTCTGTATTCTAAAGACTACAGATGGGTACACTTGACACAGGTGATTGTTACAGTATCGTGATACAACCATCTTCACAGTAAATATAAAAACATTCTCTCATGCCCTCAAAAAGAAACGCCCTACCCTTTAACTATCATCCCTTCTCCCTCCACCCTAAGTCACCACCAGTAATCACCAACCTCTCTACCACCCCGGGAGCAGTCCCTAAATGGGGACCTATTCTGGACATGACATTCACTCCTTCTGCACTTGTCATGTGGATGGAATCATAGAGGGTACAGTCTTTTGTGACCAGCTTCCTTCACTTCAAATATTTCAAGGTTCATCTATTATATGAAGGATTCCTTTTTATGGCCTAATACTACTCCAGTGCATGGCTGTACCGTATTTTATTTATCCATTCATCCAGTGATGAGCATTTGGATTATTTCCACTCTTAGGCTATCATGAACAACGCTGCCACGAGCATTTGTGTCCAGGTTTTATGTAGATATATTTTTGTTTCTCCTGGATACACAGCTAGAGGCGGGTTATCCTAGGTTTAATTGTCAGAGACACTTCCAAACTGTGTTCCAAAGGGGCTGCACCATTTTACATTCCCACCTGTAGTGGAAGAGGGTTCAGACTCCCCCCATCCTCACCAACACTTGCTATCTGACTTTTTGATGCGGGCAATGCTCATGGGTATGAAGTGGTTATTTTTCCATTTTATCAAAAAGGAGGGGGAAGATTCCCACACAGCTTAAAACTCTGATCTCCAGCCAGTTGTTTTCCATGATTCCCATTCCTAGCTGGTGACTGTTTGGGGGGCGAGCCTGAGCTACAGTGTGGAGCGAACGGCTGCTGCAGCCCAGAACACAGCAGGGCCACAGGCCAGAGGCTGGGCACAGCCGGGCCCACATCCCACCCTGGCTCATCCAGATAGGAAGATGATGCCCTGGGACAGGAAAAGGGAGGAAGGTGCAGAAAGCTCCATTTCAGGAAGGCTGATTAATAATTGAATATTCAAGGCCCAGCTCCCTGGTGAGCAGTGGATCACACAATCACTTTGTCCTCAGGAATGGGAGCTAGGTGCAGTTTCATGTTCTGCACAAAGGTGCCCATAGACTGATCAGTAAGGAAAGCTCAGGGGCGCCTGGGCGGCTCAGTCAGTTAAGCATCTGCGTTTGGCTTGGGTCATGATCCCGGGGTCCTGGGATCGAGCCCCATGTCAGGCTTCCTGCTCAGGGGGATCTCTGCTGCTCCCTCTCCCCTCTGCCCCTCCCCCCCATCTCGTGCTTGCTCTCAAATAAAATTAAAAAAAATAATAATAATAAAGTAACTTAAAAAAAAGTAAGGAAATCTCATTCTGGAGGGCTGTACCACACTGGGTGTTCTTAGGGCTGCTTGCTGGACTGGATCAGCACGAAGGAGGGCAAGCAGTGGTGGGTGGAGGCCTGGAATACAGGGGGCACCTGTCTTCGGACTTCAGCAGGCACACTGGCTGCTGCTCTGCCCAAGAAGTAGGGTGGAGAAGTGGACCGTGGGGGCCCCACACTGCTAGGGCAGCTCCTGGTTAGGATCATCACACCCAAGGCATGGGGCGGACTGGGCAGGACAAAAGGCAGGAGGGACACACACCTGCTCCAGAGCTCCTGTCGCGCCTGCGAATCCCACCCTTGCTCCTGCTTAGAGACCAGGAGCCACTCAGAAGTCCTCTCATTCTCTGACCACATCTTACAGAGCACGAGGCAGCGCATTTCTGCTTGAGTGTGGTGCACAGAGTCTCCAGCCGGTCAGCGTTGCTATGCTCTGCGCAGCCAAACGTGGGATTCCGACCACCCTCAGTCAAAAAGATGGCGAGACCCGTGCTCCGACAATCAGAAGGAAGAGAGTGTAAAGCTACAAGTGCAGATTTCAGTGGTTTGGAGAAACAGCCAGAGTGCAAGTCAACAACAAGGAAGTATTTTTACTACAGTAACTGTTCTCCCGAGACTTGTTCTTCCTGTGTTTAACCTTTCATTCTTGGGGCTGGAGAGAAACACACATTAAAACCCCAGCCTCCTATACTGAGTAAATTCACAGCTTAACCTGGGCACCGGAGCCGTCTTGAGACAACACAACTTTCTTCCAGTAACTGATTATTGTGATTTGTAACTAAACCAACATGGGCTCCCTTCTGATTAAATGCACGTCCTCCAAGAACCACAGAATGAGGCGTCTCTACAGTAAATACTGTGTGTGGTTTCAGTGGAAAATCAACTGCATCCAGTGGCCGGTAAGCAGGAATTGGGGTTTACTCTGACCACGGGAGTCACTCCCATTAGGAGGGGTTCCTCCTGGCCTCCTGACCCTTCGTGAAAAAAAAAATAACAATCACAAAGACAGTCTTACCACACACGAAACTCTCGGGCGGCACAGAGAAGATGCTTCGGCCCTTCAGCGCTTCTGGGTGGGCGCAGGTGGCTGTCACCAAGGCCTGCAGCGTCCTGCCCACTAACCACGCGGGCAGCCACTTGAGCTGGCAGTCACACAAGAAGCTATCACTGCTGATGTGGCTGGAAAAGAAACAAAAGGGACGTCGGAGGTGTGCCTCAAGAAAGGGATATTCCCTGGGTACCCAGATTCCTCCCCTCCGTCACCTCTGGTCAGCTTCTGTTGTTCACAGTCTAGAAAGGGAAAAGATTTTTCTCAGGTCCTCTCCAATAACCTGGAGCAGGATGTATCATCTGTCTGGAGATTTTCATAAAATGCAGCTCTGGCTCAGGACGTTAGGGGTGGAAGCCAGGATGTGGCATTTCTAACAAGCTGCCGGGTGACGCCGACGCCGTGGGCCTTACCGACCCCATGGCGCACCACAACCTGGAGTTCACGTGTGCTCAGAGGCAGGCCACTGCTCTCCCGTGACCCTGGGGGCGCCATCTAACCTCTTCCAGCCTCTGACTGTCCAACAGAGACGAGGGGCACTGTCCCCCCTCTGCTTTTTCCCACTCTCCTGAGAAGCTATGGGAGCTTCCAAACTCAGTCTGAAACTTTGATCTAAATTCTGAAACAAGTTCTGAGAAGGGTTCTTTTTCTATATTGCTGTCGGTTTTTTATTTGGCACAGCTGCCTGTTTTCTTCCAAAATGTGAGCCTCGCCAGCACGGTTCCCTCTAGTTTGTGTGTTGTCTCTGCACCAGCACGATTCAGGAGGCCGGCAAGATTCGGCTCCGCTCCCTAAATAGTGCCTGTGAGTTAATTGCCACTGCCCAGGGAGCATGAGAATGCACAACTTTGGTTTTGTGAGGCTCCAACCAAAACAGAGAATATTTTCTTTTTCATTTCTCAGCAACTGAGGATAAGCTTTTAAAACAGAAATCGGAATCACCATCTCAGCGGACATTCCTTCCTGAGGAGTCACTCGAAGATAAGTCAACCGGAGAGTCTAGCTGCCCTGTTCCTGGAAGACCTCAAGGCTGTGAACTTAGTAACGGAGGCCGGCCCACAGCTAGGGTGAAGGCCAAGAGAGAAACCCCGCGGCCTCCCGTCACGAACTGCCTCTGGTACGTGGTGACAAGAGGGGGCACAAGTAGACTGAGCAAGTCCACAAGCATCACATGGGTCAATATTAGAGCAATAGCCCACCTCCACCCACCATCTTCCTCCCATGTCAACCAAACCATCAAATGGACCAGCTCTTGGTTTTCCTCTACTTCACCCTGGCTTTCTAAGGAGCAGAGAGAACTGTCAAATTAATAAACAACAAGGAAGAATGAGATGCAAGCCAGAGAACCCACCGCTAGCTAAATTCAGGAAAATCTTCCATCCTGTTCCTTGTGGTTCCCAGATTAGCCATCTAATATTAAAATACTTTTGGAAGGTGCTTTTTCAAAGACTGAAATAACTGATCTCAAAGCCATTCTAACTGGGATGTCTGCCCACATCGAACCTTCAAATCAGCATGGGACTTTTTTTTTGCATTTGTATTTAATGGGCAGGGGGCTCTATGCTCAGAGGTATCTCCCTGAGGGCTGTTCTTACTGCGGAGCTAGTCAGGTAGCAGGAGGGCTCCCACAGGCAGGCCTGAGGAAGTGGCTGACTCCCACTCTGGAAATGGGCAGCTGCTGCAGGTGGGCTGTGGGTGGTGGCCGGATGGGGTGTCGCCAGGCACCGGAAACACCACGTCCGTGACGGAGAGGAACTCTTCCCCCTATCAGAAGTGCTGTCACAAAGCTCCAAGCAGGCATTTGGTATGGCTGCCCCTCTCTGTGTCATCAGGGGGAGAGCCTGGGTGAAGTTTAGAGGAAGACACCGGGCTGTCGCTGTGAGTCTCTAGGCACTTCTGTGGAGGACAGGGACCTGTTTCATTTGAGCCACAGGAACAGAGTGAGGAAAGGAAATTTGACATTTATCATTGACTAGAAATGTGTGTGGGAAGAGTTAGGCCTCACACCACATAGCGTTGGCCTAGCTTGCTTCAGGATTTCCTGCCTTCTCCAATAAAGCCCACCTCACACAGAGGAGGTGAGACCTCCGCACAGAGGGGGTACTCGGGGCAGAGAGAAGACTTTTCCTAAAGAGTGAGTCAGGACCAGCAAGACCGGGGCACTTCGGTGGCTCAGTTGGTTAATTAATGTGTCTGACTCTTGATTTCAGCTCAGGTCATGATCTCAGGGTTGTGAGATCAAGCCCAGTGTTGGGCTCTGTGCTGAGCGTGGAACCTGCTTCAGACTCTCCTTCTCCCTCTCCCCTTCCCCCCAGCTCCATGTGCGTGTGCTCTCTCTCGCTCTCAAAAAAAAAAAGAAAAAAAAAAGGACCCAACAAGACAGATGGAGAGCAAGCCTGGCCAGACAGTAAGGACACTGACCCCCTGATCTCCCCTCCAGCCGCACACATTGCTTTAAAGACAAAGTTGAGGTTGGAAGATGGGACTGGGCACTGCCAGCAACCCCAAGGCTTTGCAGATCTCCACTACTCTTCCTTCTTGTCAGCTTCTAACAGGCATGGCTTTCCACAACTCCCGCCTCCAGCCATCCCATCACTCTGCTGGCTTACACTGCATTTTCATGATTCCATCTCGAACGAAGTGTGTTTCTAATCATCGCTTGTGGAAATTTACCCAGAGCATGACTAAGTGCATGGTACAACCTGCCTTGATCAGATGGGGGAAGAAAATGACCAAGTGGAATTAACTGTTTCTCCCGTCAGAGGACTGGGCCCAGGGCCAGCCACAGCTGGGTACATGCAGCGAGCGACGGGAAACCTAGGCAGGGGCCGAGGCTGAGCCTCCAGAACCATGCTGAGGCTTATTCGGGGGAGGGTCCCCAAGCACCTGGAAGAGGCCAGTTCTTCCCAACTAGAAAAGTGTCTCAGGAAACTTCAATTTTTAGGGAGGCCAGAAGGAAAATCTCTCTGTCCTTCCCTCTTTCTTTCAGAATACTCTTTCCCATTTAATCAGATTACTCCCAACATCCTATTTGAAAAGTTTCAAAGAAAATTTGAAAGAAATGCACAGTGAACACTCACCATTTTAAGACCATGACCTTTGTAAGAACATCTACTCAACGGGCCTGAATCTCACAGCTATAAAAATACCATGAGGCAGGTGCCTAAAAGGCCTCCCCTCCCCTCACTTATCCAGAGGAATGTCACCAGGGGCCTGCTTTCTTTTTAAAGTATGGGGACTATGCCTTCCTACTCCCCCACTTCTCCCTAGGGCCCGCCCGGAGCGGCCTCAGGAATGAGGATGAGGTCGGGATGCAAAGACGGCCATCCTTTGGCGCCCACCCTTCTTCGGTCAGCACTTCTAAGATACAAAGGCCAAGTCTTTCAGAAATTAATATTGCAGCTAGATTTTCTGGCTGCAAACAGATTAATGTATAGGAAGAAGACGGGAAGCGTGGGTGTTGCCACCTAAGTACCCAGATGAGCTCCTCAGCCACAGACTAGGGCACAGGTAAGCTCTTCCAACCCCTGTCACCCAAGGGCCCGTGGTCAATGTCTACAGCACCTCCGACTACGACGCGCTGCGCGGGCCTGGGACGGACGCGGGCCGGCGCCGTCTCACTAACGCCACAGCTACCTGCGGGCATTCCACACGTGATCTCCGTCTCGCTCACCGGCCAGTGTGCTCTTTCAGGCAGCCCCTGTCAAGAGAGCTGCTCCATTTCAAGCAAACCTACATGAGGAAAACTTGCCCAGGACATCATTTAAGTAATGACTATCCCTCTTCCAGAAGAGGGTTCATTTCATGTCCTCTAGAGCCGCGGTTAGTAAGCTACAGCCTGCAGGCCCGGTTTTCCGTAAATAAGAATTTAGTGGCGCAAGCCACACCCGTGCACTCGTGTATTATTGATGGCTACCTTCTGTGACGACAGCACAGCGGCCGTGACAGAGACCTTGTGGCCCAAATGCTGACAATACTGTGTGACCCTTTAAGACAAGGTGTGCTTGATCCTAATCCAGAAGCCGCCCCCACGGGCCGACACACAAATATAAACGGCCCCATCTAGTATATAAATTGAGGCATCATGGAATTAAGGCATTTCTCACCCCGAATTCTCTGCCCATGTTAACCAGGGCTGTGGAATCCCAGGTACTTACAGCTCTTTGAGATTCTTCATCTTCACAAAAGCATCAGACTGGACAGATCTGATTGCATTCTCTCCAAGGTTCCTGCAAAAGAACACTCTTTACTTATGAAGGCAGACGCCGGGCACCCTGAGTCAGCCACGTGTTTGGGCCAAGAGGCTCAGGGAGTTTTCAGGATAGTCCTGCTTTCACCAGTGTGCCAGAGGTACTAGCCAGACCCCGTGTCCCAAGTCTACTCTATGTGGCTGTCCCCTCCCAGACACTGACATGAGCGCATGGAATAACCCGGAACTAACCCACCCTGTGGGCAGCATCAAAGCTGGGTTGAGGCCTGCTCAGCAAGTCAACAGGCAAAACCTTTCCCAACAGAATTCAGGTCAAACTTGAGTCCCAGACAAAACAGAGTAAGAATCAAGTACTAGAGGCCTCTGCTCTAGATGGTGAGAACATCAGCGTCCCTGGGCTGACTCCATCCTCCCAGAGGCAACCAGGGCAGGAGAAAACCTCCCGGCTAAGCCCACCACGCGCTCAGCCCTGTCAGGCTGCTGTCGTGGAGCGGTCAGCCGGGGCCGGGACATAGCGCCCGCACCGAGGGGAGGAGGGGCCCGGGGTCCACGGAGGGGCCCGTGCTGTGGGGAGCAGGCCAGGAGCAGAGGGGAGGTATTTAGCCAAACAGCGGCCACAGTAATTAGGCACTCACTGACTGGCCATGTGTTCTGTAACTGTTCCTGGCATGGGCAAAATAAAGGCCAAAGTTGAAGCTGACTTATGAGAAGGAAGCAGCTGGTGTTTTCCAAATAGGCTGTTTCTCAGTTTACGAAGATGTGATTAAATTGCTAGCAGACTTCCCCGGCAGCCGCATTTGGCAGGCCTGTGGGTCAGGGAAGGTCTGGCGAGATACTCACAGGTGCTCCAAGCCTTCCAGCCCCGAGAAGGCTCTCTTAGCCACGGACTTGATCTTGTTTCCAAACAGAGTTCTGCCATTTCCAAACATCCAGACACAGGGGGAAAAAAAAATAAACAAAACAAAAAAACAAAAAACAAAACCAGAGGGGGAGAGACAAGGGAGGAATGGGAGAAAGAGAACACACAATTAGGGCAATGCCATCTGAGAAGTCTGTCCTGTGAGGGGCAGGTGGAAATCTGACCTGCACTCAGATGACGGGTCTGAAGTATGCAGGCCTTCCCCCTTTCTGAAACGAAATACTTTTATCTTTATGAGAATTTAACAGTGATGACAGGTTGCGATTGCATGCACCGTCTCGCCTGAAAAAGCTCCTTGCGACGTTCAGTGGAAATCCCCTTGTCCAGCCAGGGCTGTCTCTGCGGGACCACCCAAGGGCCTCATGGGAAAGAGGGGACCGATCACTGTTCTACTGAGAGGAAGCAGAGTCATGGAAGGGAACGCAATCTCTGGAACTAAAATCTCCCACCCACTTCTGGCAACTGGGGATAAAGGTTTTCAAAGGAGGCAAGAAGAGGGCAGGAAAATGGGCATCCATCAAGACGGCTCCCCAGCTCTTTGCACCCGAGATGCACCCTAGGAGCCAGGAGGCGGCCACCGTGAGCTGCGCCCCTGCCTCTGGGAAGGCCGCTCGGTGTGGAAAGGCAGGTTCCTGCGCTCTGGCCTCTTAAGCAAGAGCCCAAATTTTGAATGATGACCGAGGTTCATTAAATCCCAGACAGGTCCTCAAAGGTCAGCCTCCAAGGTTATCGAATAGCTGTACCCCTGGACTGCCTACCCTTGAGAAGGGGCTCCCACTTCCAAGCAATTCCAATCACAACCTCCACAGTAACTACCCAAATTTTCCCCAGAAACCAAAGTCTGGCGACACTCTGAGGACAGCCCAGCTGGGCACTCTGCAGTCCTGCGGGCACAGGAAACCCCCTGTGACCAAGCACCCCGCGGTCACACGGACAGATACGTGGGGTCTCCCGCCTGACGCCCAGCAGCATCATCTAAAGGGCTGGTCGAGAGCGGGGGCTGCTGTGAAGTCTGAGTCCCCAGCCCTGGGAGGGAGGGCTTCCTAAGGTGAGCACGGCAGGCAGCCTTGGAAGAGCAGGGCTGTTGTCTGGGATCCCACTGAGAACCAGAGAAAGATCTCCGCTGGGGGCCAGCCCCACCTGCAGACCTGCATGAAGACAGCAAGCTCCAGCCCCGCCCTGAAAGGAGCAAAGAAAGGAAATCGGAGTCTGGAAGGAAATCAGAGACGGCTGGGCAGACGGGTGGGCCCTGCCCCCGGGCCCTAAGCTTTCAGCAACTGTGCAGGGCTCCTGGGGCACCTTCTCGAAGATGAGATCACAGGCGGACAGGCCCTGCCAGCGCCACGAGCCACAGAAGGAGGTGCCTCGCCACCCCCACCCCCGCGCTCGGGCACTGAAAACCCAAGGGGACACCTACAGGGCAAGCACGGGAGCTGCCGGGTCCCCCCACTTCATGAGGAAAAGACCCACCCCCCCGCCGGGGGGCCTCCCGCCCTGAGCAGCCCACCAGCAGCTCCGAGTTCAGCTTCAGCCCCGGCCAGCCACTGGGAGGACGGAAGAGCACCAGGGCCAGGGCCCCTGTGACTTTTCAATTTTTGTGAACGTGGAAACAATCTCCTCCTCCGGAAAGAGTTTCCACACGCTCTCACCATCAGAGGCTTTTATTCTAAAACAAATGACCCAAACATGTGGAAATCTGCCAGCCGCACCGACTCCGCTCCTGAACCACCGAGCCAGCCCGGCAAAGACTGGCACTCAGGGCGCTGAATATGGGCCCCGGCGGGCGCCAGCCAACCCCCACTTCCTGCATCCCCCAGGCCAGGCCACTGCGCTCCAGGTCCTATAACATGTATTAACTGTTTAGTGAACTCTCCCGTCAGCTAGATCCAGGAAGAAGCTGGGCTTTGTTTCCTTTGTGACATCTTAGTCACACTGACCTCTCTTACAGTGAGGGCAGACCGTTATTTCTAATGGTAACAATAGCAATAAAACAAATTCGCAATTATGTGGGGGTTAACCATCCTGCTGGTGGACTAAAATAGCCCCTTACACTCTCCAGGCGGACATCTGGGGGCCGGGGCTCAAGCTGGCAGGCTGGGCCGGCTCCAATAAAGGGTGCCTGTGGGGAGAGGGGGAAACCAGGCCCACGGGCCAGGGGGAGGCTCCGTCTGTCCCCAGGATAGTGGGTGGCTGAGGCTGGGCTCCACCTGATCCAGGGCTCCCAGAGAAGGGACCGCAGGCCTGATCGGCCCCATGCCCCCCACCCCCCTCGGAGTAGAGAGTGACCCCAAAAGTCAGCCATCCAACCTCCTATGTATTAAGTGCTCCCAAAGTCCTTCCGGGTCTTGCTAACACAGCCCTGCAGACACCGGGCGAGTGCTAAGGTGGTCCTTGTACTGACCCAGAGAAACCATGACCTGTTGACCCCACCCCTTACCCGTGACAACAAATAGCACTCCGTGGGCCCGGCCATCGCTCTGTGAAGACATGCGGGGGCAACGTTCCCCAGGCTGGGGCAGCATCTACCCAGGCCCTCCCCATCTCACAGGGGTCAAGAGGCTTGGTGTCATGGTCCAGTTCTTCCTGTCTCCCCCAACCCTCCCCTTTGCACACACCACGCCCCTACCTGGGGAATGCCATGGAGAGAGCTAGAACCATGGGGCAGCCCCTCACCTTAACCCCCATACACAGGTGACTAATTGCTCCCCTCTGCTGCTAGTTTGTGCTCCAGAAAGCCTCCTTGCCTCCTCATATACTAGGACCCTGTGCAGCCCCCCGGAAAGTGTTCCATCAACAGGATGACAGGGGCTGTGGGCGGGGGGGTGAGCATAATAATCACAGGCAAACTGGGGAAACTCTCAGAAACTCGCTAAAGCCAGTAACGTTCTGTGGGCCCTGCCAGGAGGCTCCAGACTGAAGAACTACCCAATACGGCTGTATTCAGCAGGTGGGAAAATTAGAGGCAGGGCAGAATCCACCGCCTCCACCCAGAGGGAAGCCTCTTACGGCTCTGCTGCTCCCCTGTTCTTTCTCGGAAAAGGTTTTCATTTAGGTCTGGCCTCCTGCACAGCGGGAAGGACCCCAGATCCTTGAAAAACGGAGCGAAGGCAGGAATTTCTCCCCTCCCATTCTCGGGGAGGTCCCTGAACAGCTTCCCGCACATGCTCCAAAGGCAAGCCGGCACCAGGTCGGAGGGACCCGGCAGGGTCCACAGCCCCACAGGGTGAAGGAGTCCGGATGACGGGACGGCTCTAGACAGGCAACCCTTCTCTGTGCAAACACACTCCCAGCTGCTGACAGGTCCCAGCGCCCTGGCCACCAGCTGCTCAGACGGGGCCGTGAGGGGTCCCGGCCACAACTCCTGGCCACGGCCACGCAGCACAGCTTCCAGGCGGTGCTTGGAGGAGGCTGAGTGAGGAGGAGAGCCAGGCAGCGCTGGCCCCTTCCTTCCCCGAATTCATTAAGTGTCTCCTCCACGCCCTCCACACACCCTGTGGGGTGGCTTTTAGCCAGAGCAGGGCACCAGGACCACAGGAAAGCGTAGGCTTTCCTTTTTTTCCCCTTTAATGGAGAAGAGTCCACACACCACCACAGGCAGGTGGCGGAGCGTCACGAACCCCACAGGTGCCCCTTATAAGGCTGCACCCATCACCCAAAGGCACCAGTCTTCCTCCCCCTCTGCCACGTCCTCTGCCCAGCCCGGCCGGCTGAACGGGGATCCAGGTCACAGGCGCCACACCGTTTTACTTTTTCATCCAAGAAGACGATTCTTTTTTTTTTTTCTTTTGCAACATAACCACGAGACCATCCCGTCTAAATAAGTGCATAGATTTAATCATATTAAGCAATTCCTGTCCCAATTTCCCCCAGTTGTGTGCTCCCTGCCTTTATTCTGACACACGGACAGAGCCTCCAGCCCCAAGACTCTGATCGGTGGGGCTACGTGGGAGGAGGCTAGAGATGGCCCTATTCTAACGAGGTCCCCACAGTCTCAGGACCAGGTCAGTGTGGAAGGCACCGCCTTCAGGAAGCCTGTGTCCAACAACACAGCGCGAGTGAGGCACATGGACTTAGGACTTCAGGCAGAACTGCTGAACCTAGTCCAGTGGGTCAAAGAAAGAGAAAACACAGGGGAACAGACCACAGTGACCACGAAGGCAGCCCCAGGCTCCAGATACAGGCTGCATTCTCCAGAACCCTGGGACCACCTGCACTCACGCGCCGGGGCCTCCTGGAAGCCACACTACCCAAGAAGTGGCTCCAGGTTCCACCGGAGGGACCTACGCCCCCACCCCCAGGCCCTGGTGGCGCCGCCCACTGCAGGCCCTCCCCACCCCCCATCCATGAGTTAGGGCAGAGGCAGGCGTCGGAGAGTGAGGCTCGTGCCCTGCCCCAGCAGCTCCGCCTCAGTCCTGCCTCTTCCTGGCTCGCTAAGTACAGGGGCCAGGAGTGGGGAGGAGGGAGTGCTTTCTTAGGGAAGGAAAAGGAAGACTGACAGACTTTTTGACATGCTGTCTGAATACACAATGCTCACGAAGAGAGAACCGTGAGAGAGCTGAGAGAGCAGATTCTTACTCAGAACTCTGAGTCTAAAAGGTGTGTAAAAACCACACTTTTCAACACCAGTGCGAAGCTCTAACTCTACAGAGAGACCTCCCCTGCCACAGGCTCTCCTGGAACCTCACACTCCACTGCTGCTTTGGAGCTATTTGCTTGACACTCACACTCTGCTCACCCTGTCACCTGAGCAGGCTTGGGGAGATGGAGTGGTGACTGCTTTTTCTTGGTCTGCCTGAAACCCTCCCTCTGAGTTGCTACTCAGTGGTCATGGCTGCTCCTGCCCCCACTCCTGGAGGCTCCCTAGGGGGCACATGCAGGGAGGGCTGGTGACATGCAGAGGGCAAGCAGGTGGGACGAGGGAGAACAGTGTGAGCTCTGGAGCCAGTCCTCGCCCTCCCCGCTGTGTGGTCTGGGGCAAAATCCCTTCATCTGTGTTTCCTCGACCACAGAAAGGTGGCGTAATAGAGCGTGCACTCAGGAGGCTGTTAGATGTAACACAGGTACATATACGCTCTGCAGAGTAAGTGACAAATTCTAGGAGCTGCAAATAAAAACACCAGAAACCTCGAATAAAAAATAGCTGTTATATTACCTCATGGTAATGACTGTTCCTGTTTAATGTTATGATTGACAACAAAAGTACTGACTAGAGACTCCAAACCACGAACAGTACTTGGCTTTAGAGTCTCACACAATTTCTAGGAATTAAGAGGGCAAGACTTCTTTGGGCAAAGCAAGACAAAAAATTCAGGTGTTTTCATGTCAGTCACAAATTCAGCAGGAAAAGAAAATCTTAACAGGCCTCTGAACACCAGTCTTCAGCCCCAGGGAAACCACCGTCCAGGGCAGTGAGGAGGCCACTGGCCAGAAAGAGGCTGGGATGCCTTGGTTCCCTTATTCAGACTTTTCTTTCCAAACAAAAGAAGATAAATGCGAGCCAGCCCTGCTCCAGTTGGGCCCAGAACAAAGGAAGCGTGATGGAGCCTCAGAACCGTTGTGCACCAGCCCCACAGAAGCTACAGCGCGGAGATACTCACAGCTTGCTGAGACTGTCGAGCCCCGTAAAAGCGCCACTGGTGTCCTCTATCGTGCCCGAAATCTCATTGTGGTCCAGATCCCTGGGGAGGAGACGGAAAGAAGGCTCACCATCCAGCCTGAGTTCTCAACTCTCTTTAATGTCAAGAGGGAAAATAGGGCGCCTGGGTGGCTCAGTTGTTAAGCATCTGCCTTCGGCTCAGGTCATGATCCCAGGGTCCTGGGATCGAGTCCTGCATCGGGCTCCCTGCTCAGCGGGAAGCCTGCTTCTCCCTCTCCCACTCCCCCTGCTTGTGTTCCTGCTCTCACTGTCTAAAAAAAAAAAAAAAAAAAAAGAGGGAAAATAGACGGACGCCCCCATGCCACCTGGAAGCTGAAAACATCTGGGTGGATTCTAGATGCCCAGCTGTAACATACGGTCAACACAAGTGTAAGCGCCGAGCTACGGGAAGCCCATTCTACACACCTCGTGGCACGGCCTGGTGTTCTCAGCCTTCCCAAAAAGTGGACACATGCCTCAAACATGGAGCTCCCCCAGCTCTGTGGGCTGCTCCCCACATGGGTAGGGCAGGCCCCGGGGCAGGGAGAGGGTGCAGACAGCACACTGGAACAACCCCCCTGCCCCAGAGCAGGCATCCGACCACCAATACTGAGAATGAGCCTGAAAGGTTCTTTAAGGTTTCTGTCTGCTCTCACACCAACCAGAGTCCCCTTCCTGGATTTGACTAGGAACCACCGAAGGCACACCAAGGAAGGAGACAATGAAGAAAGGCCCCCCGCACAGGGTGCTCCCTGGGGCCACTCCATGCTGGCAAGTGGGTTCAGAGGCCAGAGTCGCCCCCCCTCTCGGGGCCTGCACAGGCGCTGACTCGGAGCCAGGGACGACATCTGGGCGCTGAGTCAGACTTGTGACCCACTTGCCAGGGCTGGCAGATGAGGACAACTTTTCAGCCCAGTCTCCTCCAACAATGCAGATCACAAGGCAGATGACTCAGCTTCCTCCCCCAGCGTCCAGGGCAGATCCTAGTGCCGGGCGAGGCTCCTACCTGGTGAGCAGGCCCCCACTCTGCCCCACCAGCAGCCCCTCCAGCGTCCCCCACTGTTCTGGGTTCCTACACCTTCCTCTCTGATGCAGAGAGGCATGCTGCTCCCAGCCCCCGTGAGAGCCTTCGCAGGGAATGAGCACTGCCCGGAGGGAGGGGAGCTCCGCCTGCGAAGTGTAGTGCTCCTTCTGACCTTTATCTTAGAGCAGAAAGCTCAGAGTGCCGAGATTCTGCTGCTGCTGGAAGGGACCCCTCCTTTCAGCGGGTTTCTCCTCATTATCTTCAGACTGAAAGCCGGGGACCCAGAGCTGCCGTTGTGTGTGCCCGTCTCCCAGCTCCTCGCTCTGGCTGCCAAAGCTTTTCTCTTCTTTCTGGCTCAATCTGAATGTTCCCGGCCTTGTTATTCAGGCCTTGCCAGGGCTCAAAGGCTGGCTGACCTTGGCTTTAATAGCCTGGCATCCGGACCCTTTCACACTCCCAACAATGGCCCGGCACTGAAGCTGGCTCTGGCCTCTGGGCCAGGTGCAAGTGCACAGGCCTCCCTCCCTGTCACACGGGAGCAAGCCCTCTGTGCAGTGGAGCACGCCGGGAAGGAGGCTTCACATCCCACCGTGACTGTCCGGTGGAAATCATCCACCCTTCTCTGGGGAATGAATGCCCGGAGTTGCCTTGGAAGTTGTCTGGAGCCAACAAAAGAAAAACTTTAACTCCCAGGAAAGCAGCCTGAAGCCACTTCTGGCAACCCCACTTAAGAAGGAACTTAAAAGAAAATTCTGGACATCGTTGCCTCTATTTTGTTAAATGACCCTACTGAAGCTCAGGGAAAGACACAGGATTTGCTAAATGCCTCTCATGAAATGGGGCCTCCTGGACCCAGAGTGTGCTGATGGCGCACGGGGAAGATTCAAGAGGAGACGTGGAGCGCACAGCTGCGGTCCGGGAGGCTGCCCCCGATGCTGGAACCCTAGTATCCCACCAGGGTCACGGCAGGTAATGGCAAGGTTCTGAGCCACTGTCACCCTATCGGCACCACCCTGGGGGGACTGAGAGACAGTTTTCTGCTCAACCAGTTTTTCAGTTGATTCTATGCAAGTGTGATGCTCTGCACATAGTGGGTCAGCTTTGGACCCAACTCTGACTCGAGAGCAACAAGAAGGGAATTCAACGAGGCAGCTGGCTGGCTCTGTTCTGCCTTCCCAGCCAGGGCCCCCTTTCTTCTGTCAACCCCACAGCAAATAACGTACAGAACACGCAGGTTTCTGAGTCCCTTGAAGGCGCCTTCCGCGATGTGGCTGATGGAGTTGTGGCTGAGGCGCAGGATGCTCAGGCTACTCAGGTCGGCCAGGCTCTCCTCGTCCAGGCGGGTGAGATTATTGAAGGACAAGACCCTGGGGAAGGAAAGCACACATCACTGCCGTGCAAGACGGGCACGCCCGACCTTCTCCTGAACATCGAGCCACGGTCAGCAGGGTCTCGGTGGGACGACAGGACACTGGCAGGCTCGCCAGAATCCCAAGGGCCACAGGGTTCGTGCAGCTAGAAACCCACCAGGGCCCCACACCCGCAGAGTTCGGCTCCTGGAATATTCGTGTAGATCACGGAGACAAGAGAGCATGTTAGGCTGTGAGGACGACACAAGGTCATCCAACACGAGAACCCTCAAGGCTCCGATCCCTCATGCCGGGGTCCATGGGGGGTCCTGACTCAGGCTATCAGAGACCCCTCACGACAGGGGCCTGAGACCCTGGACCGGACCTCAGCGGACACTGACAGTGAGCAAGGGAGCCCCGTCAGACTGCCGATGTCAGCCAGCAGAGGGCACCACTAGCCGCCGCGTGGAACGAGCCGGCCTCACAGAACTTCCTGCCTTCCGGGGCGCGACAGTCTCCAGTCTCCGTGCCCCCACCCCAGCCGGCCCAGGCATCCTACTATGAGCAGGACAGGGAACACGCCCCCAAATCACACATCGTCCCGAGCATCGGAATCAAACCTTCCTCCCAGCACGCCCTCCCGCACCTCGGACACCACACGGCCCTGGGCTGGCTACTTGGCCTATGAGTCCTCCGTCATTGAAAAATGGGAAATTTGGGCTGGGGCAGGAAGAAGCAAAATAAATTCGGAGAAGATTAATGAGTTTTTAAAGGCAGCAGGGAGTAACATTCTTTCCCTCCTGGAGAAATAAGTCACAGTGTCTGTCAGTTGGAAAGACCTGGCAAGTGATCAAAAATACATCCTCACCTGCAATTACAGAATTTAGCTTAGAGGGGGGGGCCGGAAATGCTGGAAAGTGATCTTAACTCGGCTTCTGAGGTTCCTGGATGTCTGGAAAACTGATAGGTGGTTGAGGCATTTCTGTGACCTCTGCCCCTGGTAATGGGGACAGACGACAGCTCACAATGCCCTGCCTGCCGGACAGGGGCACAGGGGACACGACTTGCCCACCGCCTCAAAAACCAGGGGTGCCGCAGCCTCCAGCCAGGCAGAGCACGGCTCCTTACCCAGCAACTGGCCTGGCTCAGGCACGGGGGACAGAGGAGGCCTCTCTTGCTTCCTCATGGTTCCAGGCCTGGACAGCAACCAACCAGGAGCCCTGGGGGCCATGGCCTGAGCCAAGAGCTGGTCAGAAGCCATCCATACCACGTAAGACTATCAGGCAGCCACACTGCCGTGCAGGGCCACAAACCCAAACCCGCAAGGTTAACACTAATACGCACACACTCACAACACTCAAGGAAGGTACATAAGAGGAAAGAGGCAGGGCGCCTGGGTGGCTCAGTTGGTTAAGCGACTGCCTTCGGCTCAGGTCATAATCCTGGAGTCCCGGGATCGAGTCCCACATCAGGCTCCCTGCTCAGCGGGGAGTCTGCTTCTCCCTCTGACCCTCTTCCCTCTCGTGTTCTCTCTCTCTCGCTCTCAAATAAATAAAATCTTAAAAAAAAAAAAAAAAAAAAGAGGAAAGAGGCAGGGCTATGGATTTTTACATGAGATAATCATGGGCTCGCTGAAATATGCACTCCAGGCCAGTGTGCCCTGGGTGTGGGAAGAACATGCAAGAAGAGGTAAAACCACCACCTCAAGACTCAACACTGAGTTTAAACATCGCCTTGCTTGCCTAGTGAGGTCAAGAGAGAGACAAGACAAAGGCCTGTCACTTTTAAGAGCTGTTCATTTCAGGGGGTGAATCTTCTCCTACAGTCAAGCCTAGAAAAGAAGAAAACCCACCCAGACCCTCTTACACAAACACACTGGACTAAACTGGAGTGCATTACAGGGAAGGAGCCCACATGGTGAGGGCTACTTTTTTCCTCCAAAAGCACCCACCTTCTGCACGGGGGTCAGAAACAGGGGCGCGAGCGTGCCCCCCCCCCGGGGGGGGGGCTGGCAGTGCCCTTCTCACGGCCAGTGATGCACCGAAGCCGCATCAGACCCAGGTCCTCCTGCTGTCAGCAGGTAGGTCACTGTCGGTCTTGGGATCCCCAGTCCCGGCCTGGAGCCCGGTCTGGGGGTGTCTGGAAGGGAGGAGGGGCCACACATCATTCAGGGAGGAGCAGATGTACCTTGGCCCCCGGCCACAGGGGTGCCAGGCAGGGACAGGGAAAGAGCCAAGGGCCTGGACGATGTGTCTAAGGGAAGGAAGGTGGACGCCCCAAGGACATGCAGTTCTCCCACTGTCAAGGCATCACCATCGCCCAGGGTCACGTCCTTTCTGTGTGTGAGCCCAAATAAGCCTCGTCACTAAAGACGTGCACGTCACTGGGTGTTAGCCATCAATGTACAAGACCTCTCTGGACAGCTGCAAGGAGAACACTTGTGTAGGCTTTCCTTCTGGAACCCTCTCCAAGGCCAAGAAGGCCCTAGGGGCACAGGCTGCCTGCGGGGACCTAGGGCCACCCCTGCAGCCCCCGCTCATCTGAAAGCAGGGGTGCAGAGAGCAGATCAGGAGGGCATCCTGCTGCAAGCCCTGAGTCCTGCTCTGGGCCTGGCTGCCTGGGGCTGTCTTCCCTCCAACACAGGCTGCAGGCCTGCCTGCCTCTGAGCGCCCTGCCCCATCTGAGCTTGCAGAGGCCGCGGTGCCACGGACCCCATCAGGCCTAGAGCTTCCCGCTCCAGGGGGGTCACCCATGGGGAGTCTCTAAGAGTCTGTCTGCCCAGAGCAACGGCGGGACACTTACAACTCGTGCAGCTTTGGGCAGAAGCTCCAGCCTTCACGGTTAATGCGAGCGATGGAGTTGCTGCTCAGGTGGAGCTGGTGCAGGGCCGAGAGGCCGTAGAGCCAGCCTCTGTTCACCTCCACCAGGCCGTTGTACTCCAGGTGCCTGCAATGACAGTGCACAGGGGTGAAAGCGGTGCTCTCTCGTTTGCGGACCGCCCCGCACGCAGGCAGCCCCCCTGCATCCCACACGGGTCGGCACTGAGGAGCAGCCAATGGTGCGGGAGAGGAGGTGGGTCTCGGGGCTGGGGCGGGGGGGAACGTGCTCACGTGTGTCTGGGAAGGATGTGGGGAGGACCCGTGAACCCAACAGCCGGCCGTGAGTATCCGGGCTGACTCGGGAGCTCAGAGGGCAAGGGGGAAGCTTCCTTGAAGTGACCTGTTCGCCGAGTACAAGTGAACCAGGCACCCAACTCGGCAGAGGGGTTCTGAGCACAGGGCACAGCAATGGCTGAGCCCATAAAAGGAAGAGAAAGTGGGGGGTACATTTTATCCCACTCTTAGAGATATGGAAACGGAGGCTGGGAGAAGTTAGATAACTTGTCTAAAATTCATTCCACAGCTCTCCAAGCAGTGAGGGTCCAGAATTCAAACCCAGGTCTGGCTATCCAAGTCAGGGCTCAGGGCCATGGTGTCTAGAGACACGCCTTAGCTCTGGGGTCAGATGACCTGGATTTAAATCCCAATTTTGCCGCTTTACTGGCTAAACGGGGCTGAAACATGGGTAAGATGGAGAGACCCAAGGGTAGCAACTTCACAAGGCTGTTAGGAGAAGCAAACAGGAAAATGCCAGAATTTCAGCACGGTGTGGAGGGTTTTGCTCCCACCAAGGTGCTCAAGTGAGGACATTCTTACCCTGCTTCCCGACCCTGCACACCCGAGCCCAGGACGACCCCAGTGGACTGGCCTCTAATTCCAGTGTTGCCCCATGTTCATATACAAGGCCTTTGGGCAACCAGGTTTTGCTTTCATCTGTCTCACTTTCTGCCACTGTTCAAAAGGTGAGCACATTTACAAATAATCTCTCGGGCAACTCATCAACCTCAGTGTGTATGAATGTGCTCAACAGAAAAACCAAAGGGTATGTGCTAACTCCATTTCCTTCTGAGAACTCTTTGACTCTCAGCACACCCATCACACAACCACCTGGATTTCAAAGTTCAGAACGACAGTTTTAAGGAGGTCAAGTAAAGGCGCTTTTGAATCTATAGAAACAGACGTGCGGCCAATCCCAGGACCAGGAAGAAGGGAGAAGCAAGACCACAGTGCTAATGCTGATGCCCTCACCTCACGATGAGTGTGGGTTTGGGGTGGGGGGGTGGGAAGAGGGGCTCGTCAGAGACACTTCTGATACCGAGCACGGCGCAGAGCCGATGAGACGGGATACAGTTTTTGTTTTCTGTTTCCATCACAAAGATAACAAAGGACATGAGCACAGTGATATAACTTGTAAAGCCTGGAACGGAGAGGGTGTGTGCGCATACGTGCGTGGGTGTGTGCGCGTGTGGGGTTCCTGAGCAGGTTACATCACTGACCGTAACACGACAAATCTCCAGTTGACCCACCAAGACAGGGGGAAAACCAACAAGGAGGGGCGCCTGGCTGGCTCAGTCGGTGGAGCCTGAGACTCTTGATCTCGGGTCTGTGAGTTTGAGACCCACGCTGGGTGTGGAGATTACTTAAAACAATGGAAAAGAAAAAGAAAAAAGAAAACCACCCAGGAAAGGAGGACCAGAGACTGCCCTTTGGGAGCAGAAGGGGGTAAACAGAGAATGGGGGGAGAGAGGCCAAGGCCACATCTCTGTACTCTCTGACTGTACTCGGTTATATGTTACTGACCACTGAAAACAAGCTCATTTAAATGTTTAAAAACGGAAGATTGGCAACCACCTTTTCTGCCCTTCTCCACATGCCCTCCTGCTGCTGCTTTACGTGACTTGGCCTGCAGGCGTGCTCTGTGCCCGTGCACATCTGGCGGGAGGGGGTGCTCCCCGGTAAAAGTGGGACATCTGCACCGAGGGGTCCGCTTAGCTCACGACACATAAATCAATCTCCCAGGATGAACTCGACACTGGAGGCCCCCCTGCCCATCCAGATGGTCAAGTCCCAAACAGGGGGCCAGGGAACTTTCTGCGGCCTGTGGGAGGGGGGCCACTCTGCGCCCTGCTATTCACTGAGGACGTGACAGGAGAAGAGAAGTCTGAGCAAAAGGGCTCCATCTCCCACCTGCACCAGCCTGCTTCCCGGACAAGACCCACGGAAACTGCCCCCAGAGACTTTCCTGACCCCTGAGAAAAACACCCTTCGATCGGGCCAAGTCACTGAAGCTACTTAGCGGTGCCCAGCCTTCTGAGACCCAAAGGGCAGTGGCCAGCTCCGGCGGAAGTCCTCCACGATCCTTCAAGGCAGGGGGCTGAAGGAGCACGCGCAGGGCCGCCAGGGCGCCCGAGCCGAGCAGAGGTCCCGCCCGGAACCCAGCACCACACTTACAGCACGTGTATCCTGGACAGTCCCCAGAAGGCCCCGTCCGTGAGCTTGCTGATGTTGTTTCGCTGGAGCTTTAGCACCTCCAAACTGTCAAGCCCCTGGAATGTCAGGCCCTCGATGACCCGAATCCGATTCCTAGTCAGGTCCCTAAAGAGATGAAGACAGTGGGTTCAGAGGCCTCGCCGCATGTTCCCTGCCTACACCTGTTCTCATGCAGGCCCAGCCAGGTTTCTGAGCCAGCAGGGAAAATTGTGCTGAGGACATCCCAGCGAAGCCCAGATGTACTGCAGGGGCCCACTGTCTTACAGCTGCTCCTGCCTGCCACGCAGGCATGGACACGGACTGGGCCACGGCTTGTGAATGAAAGAGGGCGCAGCGTTCCCCAGAAGCCAGCCCCACCAGGCCTCCCAATGACTGAGCGCTCCATTTCCTCCCCAAACATCCATGACTCTGCAGTGAGGAGGTGGGTGTGACTCAGGACGCGAACATCTTAGGTGAGGTGTCTCTTAGCTCAGCAACAGGAATCGATACCAGATGCCTCAACCCAGGAAGAACCTGACCACTGGACAGCAGAAAGCAATGACACTTTTCACTGGAGGCGTTAATGGAGTCTCTACTGATGGAGAGGAGTGAGTGCATACTGGGGAGGGGGCGAACTGACACACCATGAAGCACACACAGCTGGCTTCCGACCCCAGCATGGTAAAACCTCAGTGCACCAAAAAATTTCAGGAATCTGGGTGGGCTGGGTCCATTAGTAACACTGGGGGAAGGGGAGGGGAGAACACAGGGCTGACCAGAAAGCCCTTGGTTTTCCCCAAATACTTCTGTAGTGTCTCACGACGATGCCCCACACACAACCTCCTTCTCCAGAGCTGAAGAGACCAGAGATCTTCTGCATGGGTGTGTGTGTGTGTGTGTGTGTGTGTGTGTGTAACAGCACTGAGTATGTGTTTGAGTGTGAATGAGTGTGTGTGTGAGTGTGTAAGAGTGTAAATGTGTGTGTGTAAGAGTATGTGTTTGAGTGTGATTGTGTGTATGTGTGAGAATGAGTGAAAGTGTGTGTGTGTGTGTGTGTGTGTGTGTGTGTGAGGGACACACAGGCGTGAGGGTGCTGGGGGGCGGGGCACCCCAGCTTGTTGCCAAACCTGGCCCTGAACAATCGCTGTGTTCTGTTTAAACCCAATCTCCCATACTGGCTTATTTTCCTGAAATTCCTCTTCTGACACAAGGAGGACACAGGAAAACAAAAAACCGGGGAGCAAATGACCCATTGGGTTCCAGGAAACAGGTTTTCTTAAATCCAAACCCTGTGCCATCCTAGGAGTGCACTCCGCTTTGGATATCAAAAAACAAAACAAATAAATCCTTTCTTAAAAAACAAACAAACAAAAAAACCAAACCAACTACCTTGTAATATTTATCTGGAAGATGATGGCCCACCTCTTGCTCACTACCTCTACCTATTGCTCAAAAAGTGTTGGACACCATAATGTCCACAGTACAGATTTTATGAGAACTTTAAGACACATACACACGAAACCCCTAAGATAAATACCCCAACCCACACAGCCTAAGTAATAGCCAGGATCAGCTAACCAGCAGGATTCCTCATTTCATTTTGGAAAGTGCCAATGAGGACAAGCATATATATCCTCAGTGGATCTTGATTTCTCCACAACCTGAGGCAGCCCACAGGCACCAGACCCAGCTTCTAATTTGCTTCTATTAGGTGTCGCCATAGGGCCATTAATGATAGTTTATGCAGAGCCTGACCAAGGGCGGGTGAGGAAGGGGTCGCTTTTGGAACAAGGTCCATGGAGAAATCTGGCCTCCATAAAGTTTGGCTAACCTTAATTAAAGTGCAGGTTTCTGTACTCACAGTTGTGTCAGCCTGGGTAACTTGAATGCTTTCATAGGAAGCTGGGTGATCCTGTTTTTGCTCAGGCGAAGCATTACCAGCGACCGTGACAGACCATCAAATGCTCCCGACTCCAGGGTGCCGATCCGGTTGCTTGCCAGGTTGCTGGAATGGTACAGGACAGAGAACACAGTGGTCAGGAGGGGGCTTTCCTCATTCTGTTACAGACGCTGGCTGAGTGGGGGGAAAAAGCTAAAACACACCCAGAGGGACGGGTTTCCGATGACACATTTATCATATTTAGTCCTAGATGGGGGAGCCGGGAAACTTGGGTGTCAGGACCATCCCCTCAGGCCTCGACAGAAGGGTCACTGCAGCTCAGAGCACACTGTGGCTGCCTTCCACTGGAGGGTGGGGTCAACGTCATTGACCTCCACCCCAGCACCCTCACAGTCCAGCCAGGCCGTGCAGAGGGGCCATCTCCAGAGCTACCTGCAGGATTCCCTCAACACCCACGAACCAAGAGTGAGGGTTCAGAGTTGGTGAGAAAAGCCCTAGGAATCAGAAGGTCAACCTCCAGGCAAGGTCAGAATGGATTTATTAATTTAGGGAAAAAACCCTAAATTTTATCTATTTATTCAAAGATTTATTTATTTATTTTAGATAGTGTGCACAAGGTGGGGGAGGGGCAGAGGGAGAGAATCTCCAGCAGACTCCCTGCTGAGCAGGGATTTCGTGACCCCAAGATCATGACCTGATCAAGAGTCGGATGCTCAACTGACTGAGCCACCCAGGCGCCCCACCAGCCCTAAATATTAAAGTGGATCTCACTATACAACTTTTTATATATAGATATTTAAATGCACACACACACACTCCTATAAATGTGTATAAGCCAATTCATTTTAATCATTTCAAGTGTATCAAAGAAACACTAGTTAAGGAGACCTGCACAGGGTCCCTCTGGACAATAAGCAATTCTTTAATGGGATGTCCACTCATAGGATTACGTATGTGAAGAGCACTTCTCCTCAAAACGTACTGCAATATACACATTGTATATGTGCATTCCACTGTGCGGACATTCTGTCAACTAATACAAAGAAGAAAAAACAGAGAGAAAAGGGAAGAATAATATGTTATTCCTATCAGAAGTTACCACTACTACCTCTTTCCTTCCGCCATCCCTGGACCAATGCTGCTTTTCGTGGCTAAAACAAAAAGGGAAAAGACGAGAGTTTGCGTCCATGGAGACGGGAAGGGGATGAGGCATTTTTCGCCTCTCTGTCAGGTAGCAGCCCAGGACAGGGCACACGAGGATTCTGTGCCAACGGGCCTGGACTGTTTGTTCTTAACACTCCACATTAAAGAAGAACAGTCTGTGTGATAGAGATACACGGGCCAGGAGCTGCCAAAATAGAAAGTCCCTCCGGCTTTTGTGCAGAGAGAGGTCACTGCCATTCAGTTTAGGGCTTGCCGGTTTCTTTGTCCTAAGCAAAGGAGTGCCAGGTGGCAAGTGGACACCTCTGGAAAGCCCTGAGTGGGGACTCAGCACTGTCACCCTGGCGTAACAAAAGCCAGGGCCTCCCGTTTCCAATTCTGGTGTCGTGATGCAACCTAAGAAATCGCTCCCCTTCTTTGGGGTCTTGGAAAATCCATGTGCCAGGCCTTGGCCTCCCTGAACAGAGGGGTCAAAACAACCCCTAAACCAGCCTCATGAATGAGCCCCAAAATGACTCAGGATCAGTAATGATGCAGGGAATGAAAACTCACATGTCATTTGAAGATGTCTCTGGACACTGGGTTTTTAGTTTCTTCCCCAAAACATTTTTCTACCAACAAGCAGTAAGCTCAACAGGTTTGAATGGTTCTTCCTCCCTGCTCCCATCCATTGGGTGTGAGAAGGGCTGTTAGGATGGGTGAAGGGGACGCAGACCAACAGAGATCTATGAGGTCCTGGGAACCCACACAAGGGCATACGTGCCTCCTGAAGAACCCCCATGCCAGGCTTCAGGAGGTGGTGCCACAAAGATCTGCACGTACCGGTTAAGCCTCAGCAGGGAGGCCTCCCTGTGGGGCCGTTTGCTAAGTACCCCTGAACCTTCTCTCCTGGCTCTCCTGCCAGGGAGCCCAGGAAGTGAGGAAGAACCCAGGCCTCATACTCAAGCTGCATGTGTACTCGAGGGCTAGCTGCTCCTCTCAAGTGGCGGGTCTTCCTTTGCCTCTCCCTGCCTCAGCGACCACCCCTGCAGTCAGACTAACGCTGCTCGATGAGGAAATGCTCTACAAATGCGCCAACAGAAGACAGTGGACTGGGGTCCCCCGCCCTGTGCCCTGCCGAGGGGAGCCAAAGGCGCATGCCCAGCCCCGCCCCCCAGACTCAGCCCGGGCACGGTGGGGAGGGAAACACGCACTCTGTGTCCACACCTAGGGGCCGACGGCAGAGCAGGGCACTTACAGCTCCTTTAGGTGCAGCCCGTGCGGAAAGCAGGTGTTCCGGATCTCCGTGATGTTGTTCGAGCTCAGGTCCAGCACCTCCAAGGAAAGGTAAGCCTGCAGCTGACTCCCCTCCACACTGCGGATCTTATTGTGCTGCCTGAAACACACAAAGGCAGGGCACTCAAACGTGTCTTTTTGCCAAGAATCATTCTCCCCGCCGTTTCTTTCAGACACCTCCTTCCCTAGCTGATGCAGACAATTCTCAAAAGTGGCGCTCTTCACATGAGGCCTCCCGTTCTTCTTTCCGCAGAGTTATCACCTGCTGGCTGGGTGCTACAGAGAATATTGAATTTTCTGGCAGCCACTAGTTTGTCTGCCCAAGCTCAAAGCCTAGGCTTCTCTCCCCAAGGACAAGAACGCAGGGGTCACGAATGCCGTGCAGAGAACACCGAGATCAGAACGCAGAGCTCACCAGTGCATATTCCCATGAAGAATGTGCCCGGCGAACCTGCCAGTTCCAGGTGCCGTTCTCATCTAGAACCTTCAGAACAGAGCCCAGCCCCATCATGTATGGGACTGCAGGCACAGAGCCCAGAGTTCAGGTCTAATCCAACTTAATGCATCATGACACACCTCATGGTTTCCCAGGCGTGAAGACAGGCACATGGGATTTTTTTTTTTTTTTTAATGACACACTTCTGACAACCTAAGGGGAACAGGAACTTGGTGCTCAGTCTGCCTGGAATTAAATCCTTGGACCCTCCTGACTCTCGCCCCCTCACCCATAGCTTTGCTCCTCATTTCCTCGTATGGAAGGTGGGCCGCAACCCCTTCTGGGACATGGATCACCCAGCCGAAAGCACACGAAAGCCGATGTTAACCTAAGTGTCTGAGAAAGGCATTTTACCACCATGACTTAGTTACACCTGTAGTCATCTTTCTGGAAAGCCCCCAGCCTAACTGATCAACCCGTATTTACTAACCAGGAGGAAGACAACAAATGCTAACCGAAGCTGGGGGGGGCACCTGCCCGCCCCCCCCACCCCCCGTGGGTTTGGCTCTGCCAGGCAGATTTAAACCACAGCAGCCCTAATCCCAATATTCAGATACTTCAGAATCTGTTGGGTGGCAGTGCTGGGCCTCTGGTTCCAGGCGCTCACTTGGGCCAGTTTCAGAGTCAACAGTGTCAGGGTCCCTGGCCAATCAAAGCATTCTTGAACACAACACAAGCCAGGCGTCGCTTACCAAGTGGCATCTCTTTTAAACAAACACTTGACCAAATCGGTTCCAACAGGCATAAACAAGGCTCTCTTTCCCAGAAGCTCTGGGGCTGCTTGTCAATTCCTTTGTTTTTTCCACAACTCTCCCAGGCCCTGAACCCAAAAATCCATTTACAAGGGCACAACTGCACACACAGGGAAGTCTCCCCAGAATGAAAGGCCACTTTTCCCTTCATGTCCCCTCCCCGCCCCCCCCAAAGCGATTTCCTTTGAGTTATTATGTTCTTAATAAAGATGGTCTCTTCAGTTATGGGACTCCAAAAGAAAAAGGAAAAAAGAAGACCTTTATTATGTTAAGTATGGGAAAAGAAGAACAAGAAATAAAGGCCGCAGCGCTGAGCCTCATCCAGGAACTGTGAGTGCAGGAGCGGGGGGTGGGAAAGGAGGATCTGAGAAAAGCAGGCAAGCAGCACTGGTGGCCCCACGTCACGGAAACGGGACCAGACACAGAGGAAGGGGCCACGGGACAGCTGTGAGCCCGCCCCCTCCGCCACGCCTCTCCCACGGTGCCTCGTCTGTCTCCTCTGTCTCCGCCTTTCATCTTCTACCTTTCTTTGTCTCTTGTTGATTCACGGATTCAAACGTGTTCTGGGCCCCTGCGTGTGCCAGGCCCACCCTGGAGGAAGGATGCTGACATGAGCACTGGGGCTCTTCCACGTGCTGTAGACGTCCTCAGCTAGCCAAAGAGGCAAGTCCTGGGGACGAGACACAACCGAGCGCGGCAGTGAGGATGACAGAGGCACAGGGGACAAACTGTGCCAGGAACAGTGAATTCTGTGCCCTGAGCAGTTTGTGGGGGCCAGCGCCAGGAGCAGGGGCAGGAGGCCGACACGGGGAAGACACGGGCCGGGAGCTGGGAGGGCCGGCAGAGCGCCTGCCTGGCCAACCTGGGGAGTAGGGACTCCATGTGGGGTCAGTGACACAGGGACAGACACAAGAGAAGAGTAAGAGAGGGGCCCATGGGATCTGACGAGGACAGCTGGGGGCTACATCAAACAGTGACGCTGAAGATTCTAGTCTGCAGAGGTAACCCGCTTAGCAGGCTAGTGGGCACGCCTTCCATCCTCGTTGGCTTATGGACCACTTCCAACTCAGTAACCAGAGAGATCCTGTTAAGGCATCCCAAGGAATGGGGGAAAACATTTGTAAATCACATATCTGATAAGGGATTAATATCTAGAATATATAAAGAACTCCTAAAGCTCAACAACAAACCACCCCCCCGCCAAACAACCCGATTAAAAAATGGGCAAAGGACTTGAACAGATGTTTCTCCAAAGAAGACATACAAATGGCCGGTGAGTACAAGAAAAGATGCTCAACATCGCTAACCTCACACTCATACAATGGCTACTGTTAAAAACAAAACAAGTGTGGACAAGAATGTGGAGAAATGGGAACCCGGGCGCCATGCTGAAGAAAATGGTCTGGTGGTTCCTCAAAAAAGAAAATACCACACGACCCAGCTGTACTACTTCTGGCTCTATATCCCAAAGAATTGAAAGCAGATCTGAAAGAGATATAAGCACACCTGGCCAGCTTCTCTGAACCCACAGGCTCCTCCCCATCTCTCTCTCTCTCCCTCTCTCTCTCTCTCTCTCTCACACACACACTTTCCACTCCTTCACCTGCTTTATTTTTCTCAAAAGCTCCAATTAACACCTAGTATATCCAGTAATAACTTATTTCTAGTCTAACACCTTCTATCCCACCAGGCTGTGGCTCAAGGAGAGACCGGTCTGTTCTGCCCACTAACGTGTCTCCAACCACTGGAACAGTGTGAAGCATGTAACGGGTGCTCAATAAATATGTGCTGAATGATTCATAAGAAATGAATACAGGTTAAATTTCTGAATCTCACAGATTTGAGACTCTCCAGCATTTAAGCAGAAGAAAATCATGCAGGCGGAGGAGTTCAGTCTGAGAGCGTGAGGGAGAGAAAGAGCGTCCATGGCCCTGAGGCAGGGCTGCCCAGAAAACACAAGAGACGTGGCCTGCAGTGGCTCCCCAGGTCCTCGGGGCTCCAATACTGCTGGTCCCAGCTGCCCAGGGGGTACAGCCATCTCCCCACTGGACCGGTCTCCCTGCTCTTCACTCCAGCCCAAAGCCCTGATCAAATTCTTCCGGAACTTCCATACTCTGGAAAACGGACCGCACACTTCTGTGCGCCCGTGGACTCTACCCACCCCAGCCCCGACACACAGCAAGAGTCACACCGTGTTAGACATCCCTGTGGACCGTGGCCACTCCGCCCCAAGGCCAGGGTTCTTCCTGGGCTGACACCTGGCACAGCACAGAAGAGCATGTCAGGAGCACTGCCCTGCCGGCCGGGGTTCAAATCTCAGTGACGCAACTGGCAGGTGTGAACCTCAAGAGGAGCCTCATCTATAAAGCGAGGTGTGAAGTTCCTCTGCCCCATGGGTGATGGGACCTGACACAAAGCGGTTGCTCCATTAAACCAGTTCTTGTTTTTATTAGTCATATTTGTATCCTCACAGCCAGGCTCAGGATCTGGTTTGTGGGAGGTGCTCTGGCAAAAGAATAAATGAATAAAATTAATGAATGACTGGTTCCTGTCCATCCCTCTGCCACATTTCAGTGCAAGCAGGCAGGCCTGACTCCTCTCAGGAAAAAAAGCGTTGGCTCAGAGCTCTCAGTCTTCTTTTGGTGCAGGAAATAAGTGTGCTCCAACTGGAGAGTGTCACACCCCGCCACTGGGAGACTAGGCTGAAGTGGGTAGCTGCGCCTCAAAGCAAATCCCAGATGAAAGCGTCTGCAGGACTCCACAGCTAGAGACCTGCTGGATCCCCAACCACCCGCAGGACATTCCCCTCCTCACTCCCGCAGTGAGCATGGGTTACGTGCACTCACCCTGGCCCCAGCCCACCACACTCTACCCTATCCCATCCGGGGAGTCGGTCCATCCAAGACACCCCCTCCAGACACCCATCCATAAAGACCAGAGCCCACAGGCAGCATTCAGGGGAAGCCCTCCTATCCCCTTGAGAGTAGACAGCTGTGAACATGTGTTTGCTGCCCTGAGTCCATCAGGCAGTCCACTTTCAAGAAACTGTCCATGCTTTTAATGCCGCGTGCAACATGGAGGTGGTCATCAGGTCTCTCCTTTAATGTAACTAACTATCCCGTTCCCAAGAAGGCCCACGCTTATCTTTATAACTTCCAGATCCTTGTTCAAGTTCTTCTTAGCAACAGCTGACCAATAACTCAACACCTGTATGCAGCAGGCCCCGGGTGAAGCCTCGGGGAAATTGCACAGCAATCTAAGGAGGTAGGTACTATTATTCTCTGTACTTGATAGCTGAAGACACCGAGGCTTAGAGATCTGCTGGAATTCTTCTGAGGTCACACAGCTGAGAAGAGGAACCAGGAAGCAAATTCAGGGGAGCAGGACTATCCGACATGCCCTCTGAGAGGCTCTCCCAGCAGAATTTTAAGGACATTGTGCTGGATTCAATCCATAAACCTTCAGCATAGCTTGGCTAGGTCTGAATGCTAGCTGGCTATTTCCTGGTCACCTCAGAGTGGTCTGCATAATTGGCCTCAGCTAGGCCTCGCTTTTGTATCAGCTTCCCGCAGGCCTGCGTGAGCAGAAATTTGCAGAGGGCTTTGTGTGGCCCATCTCAGCAACAAGGCAGAGGAAGCTCAAGTTCTTACTCACGGATATTCTGGATGGAAAGAATAGTTCCTTTGAGATCATGTCTTTAAGGACCTGTATTTGAGGGAGGAACGGCTACCTTTATTCTTAGGGAATCGAGACCTGCAGAGGGATGCCCAGCCTCTCTCTGCCATTAAACTATATCAGAATGGTTCTGTGGCTGTGGGACTGGGGAAGGTGCAGGGTGGATCACGGGCACTC